TGCAAACTAAGTGAGCCACTACGGCGAGTCCTTCAGTTTTTCGCCCTTCATGGCGGAGAGAATTGATACTGCCTCCATTACTGGATAGACTGCGACATCGCCCGTCCATGGGCACCTAGGAGGTGCCCAAGGCCCGTCCACGGTGGGCCTTGGGCTATTTGGATTTTCGAGTGCCCGTCCATAACGCCCAAGGCCCACGGGCATGCCCACGGCGGGCATGCCCACGATGCCCACCATTGCATAAAGTCACCCAAAATGGACGTATAACTCGCTGACTTTGCATAATAAATAACTGTTATTTACACCTGTTTTGCCAACTCCATGTAAAATGGCAGTTTTAATCTACAACATCTATCAATTTTACTGAAATATCTATGTATATGAGAAACTAGTATATATATGATACGAATTGGAATAAAATTTTAATCGAAATACATCATGTTGTGTGGTATTTTTATTAACTTATCAAATCATACTGTAACAGCTTGAAGATATATATTCAAGTCAGTGGTATATGCCTGGCATTTTCCATAAGTAAAATACTACTTATGGATTCTACTTTATCTCTCACTCTGGTATATTTCTTATAGGTAGATCGAAAGATAATTAGTATAATTCTTATTTTATAAGCTTATATCACTAAATTCTGTCAATTATATCACTCAAAGACTTGTGTTATTATTCTGGGAGTTTTAAATCCTTCGATTGTAACTTAAGATGGGCGTTTAGGTATATTCCCATGGGCGTGCCTACGGGCGTGCCCACGGGCATGCCCATGGACAAAGACACTTATAGCCAATCAGCTTATAATATATAGTGGGTCTACACTCAATTTACGATCTATCAGATCTATACAAAGCACCCCTTTTACTAGTAATCCTCGTTTTACACGGTCGCAAGTTACCTATTATAAGTTCAGATCACTCACTCTCCTATAGTCGTTATATTATCCCTTATATCACATTAACTATGTCCCAACCTAGTGCCTATACCGCAGGGCCTTCTTCACTTCCTCCGAGCTCCTAACCAGACCTCTCCTACGTCGCCGATATATTTGATCCTAACCTTAATCCAAATATTGATCCCAGTCTCTTCAACAGCCAACAGACTTCTATCTCACTGATAGAGTCCGAGTTCACTCAACCGGCTATTCTTAATTACTCTCTTAAACGCGTCGGCCCCGATCGGAGAAAGCAGTTTATCCTCTACGACGCGATGAACAACGCGTCCAAAGTAAAGTTTATCGAGTGGTGGCGTACCACAGTACGCGGCAGCAGTACTAAGACATAACAAAGGCTACGATGGGATGCAAAACACATATCAGATATCTAGGAGAACTTCGACCAGGTAGCATATCATATTACAGGCGAACCTTTAGTCATGTGTCGGACGTGTGGGGTTACATTGCCTCATCCAAGTACAAAGCAAAGCGGCACCAATACACTTAAGCGGCATCTAGCCTCAGGCAAATGCCAAAAGGGTAGTAAAAGCAAGTCTACACAACAGTCGATTAAGGAGACTATACAGCATATACCGGTAAGTCTTATATTATTATACCCTTCAAGATAACTAACATATTACATATTAGGCACTGGAGTTATCTTATAACTCAAAATTCTCGAATGATGAATAGGAAAGAGAGCAGATTGAATATCTTACCAGTCTGAACCTCCCTTTCCGGATACTTAAGAGGAAGCAATTTGCTTCCTTAATTCGAATGGCACAAAAGGCTCCAGCTGAACCCACTTTACTCCATCCTCGCACTGCTCAACGCCGGCTCAAGAAATTGGTCGACGAGGAGCAACATTCAATTCTCGCTACCTTACCACAAGATGCGAAGCTCTCAATTGCCCTCGACTGCTGGACATCGCCTTTTCAGCAGGCATTTATGGCAATCACAGGGTACTTTATCGACCGAGACTGGAATTACCGTGAGCTCCTACTTGGTTTCGAACCACTTAATAGGGCGCATTCTGGTATAAATCTAAGTGAAGTACTTATAGAGATCTTTAAGAAGCTTGATATTACTGATCGTGTGTTAGCGATTACATCAGATAACGCGTCAAATAACACAACTTTAGTACAGGCAGTTCAAGACTCTATTGACTCCCTTGAACTACCGAATAGCCCGGTGGTTGTTCGAATCCCTTGTCTTACATATATTATCCAGCTAAGCCTTCGCGAGCTACTTAGATCGGTGAAGGCCGATCCCCAGAACGATACCACAGATCGGAATGTTTCAGATGTCCAAGCCCAAGCCCAAGCTCGATCGCTCCGTACTTCACAGAGTGAACAAGTCATTGTACAAACCCTTATTAAGGTAAGTGTATCACTTTGTTTATCACTTAATATATCTAATAACTATCTAGATTCGAGGGCTTGCTGTGTTTATTAATATAAGCCCCCAACGTCGCGATGATTTCTTCCGTCTCCAGACCAATAAAGCAAAACTTACGCCTATCCAAGATGTCCGCACCCGCTGGAATTCTACCTTCTTAATACTTCGTCGTGCGAAACGCCTCAGCAAGCCCTACGATGAATACTGTGATAACATTGGGACTCAGAAATACAAACTCAGTAAGGCAGAATGGCGGCAGGTCGACTACCTCCTGTATATCACAGAGCCGTTCTATCGCTTTACCACAGTGCTTTCAAAGACCAAAGAGATAACAGTACATCATATTTTTGGTATTTATAACGCCCTCTTTAAGCACTTCGAGGAATCGATTGCACGACTCACTCCGAAAACCATACCTTGGAAGAAGGCGATGCTACAAGCCCTCAATACTGGGATAGCAAAGCTTACCTCTTACTACACAAAGACGAAAGAGATCCATAGTAGTCTCTACGCGATTGGAACAATTCTTGCACCCCAGCATAAGCTTCACTTCTTCTCAAGTAAGGCGTGGGGTACATCGGAGAACGACACAAACTGGAGTGATCAGTATAAGGAAACGCTTCGCCAGTTCATAGCTCCTTACGCCCAAAGACACACTCAGACACGGTCCTTACGAGAAGAGCAACCCCCCAAGCGTCACTCAGCCAGTACAAGTGACCTAGACGCCCTCCTTGACCTTCTGCCTCACATCCACTCTGATCCATCAACGTCGGAGCACGAACTTGCTAGATACCTTGAAAAGCGTACGTTATATTCACTGTTATTACGAGCAGGAATACTAATACCTATAATAGCAAGGAGAAAGGTCGATCCTTTACAATTCTGGAAGGAATATAAGAATGAATTCCCAATTCTTTCCAGTATTGCTCGCGACATTCTCTCTATTCCTGCAACAGGCGCTGGAGTTGAACGTCTTTTCAATTCAGCACGGGATGTCTGCCACTACCGACGTAGGCGGCTGAGTGCGAAGACAGTCCAGGATATCATGATGTTCCGGTGTAAAACCCAGTTCGACATTGAAATAGAAGAACTACCCGATAAGGATACGTCCTTAGATTCAATGCAAGAAGCAGACGAACAGAGAGAGGCTGAGCTTACCACTGATATGCCTGAACCAATCAGCGATAGTGAGGATTCCGAGGATAATGATCCTGTTGGACTGATCGAGTATGAGTTTATAATAGAGAGTCAGCTTCCTCGTCCTTCTATAGTGCTAAGTACGCGGAAGCGACAGAGAAGTGAGCTAGTCGACAGCGAAGATGAGAGCAGTCCTCATCTCCCTTATTATAGAGATAAGGGTAGCACTCAAAAGCGCCCTGGTTTAAGAGAAGCAAGGAAGCGTGGCAAACCCAATAATGATCAATTTGTATCGTATTAGTGTGAATGTATGAATATAATGAATGCCTAAGTCATTATGCAAAGGCTTCCAAGGCTCATTTCTGACCCCGGTCAAAAAAGTGACAATGTGTCAAGTTGTTGTATAAAGGCTTCTAAAGCTCATTTCTGACCTCGGTCAGAAAATTGACAGTAGTATCAAGTCATTGTTATCAAGTCATTGTACATGTAATCGAATTACTCAAAAATACAGAGAAAAAATGCACAAATAATGCAGGTCACGAGGTCAAGAAATTCTGCTTACTAAAAAGGCCCATGGGCGCCCACGGTGTCCATGGACAATGGGCCCTAAGGGTAGGGCCCGTCCATGGGCGTATGGATAGTGCCCATCGCCCGCTTACATAAGGCCCGTGGGCACTGCCCAGCCGCCCGTCCATGGGCGATGTCGCAGTCTATTACTGGATTCAGGGGTAGCTGGGAATAGCTTCACAATTGCTAATTCAGGGGTAGCTAGGAGGTTTCAAGGGGTAGAAAGCAGGCTTCTAGTAGTATACTAGATACTATATCTCAAATAGTAATGCTTTCTTCGATGCGAACCGGGCTTATAACTGTCGGATTGGTCTGTATTGTAAATGTAGGGGTCCAATCAGTGGTATTCAACTCTCTGTATTTCTGTATCGGCTCTTGGTACAATTTATATGGAGCCATGATTACATAACATTAATTACAAAAATGTGTAGGATTAATAAATCCCCCGGTATGCCGGTCGTCATGCTCCGACATGTATTGACAGCCTCAATCCGCCCCGTCGGAGTGAAGATTTACGGATATTAGATGTTCCGACCAGTATCAATGTTCTCCAGCATGCAAAATGCAACTGGTGACTACTACAATAACATACTTTGAGTGGACAATTTTAGTATGATTCGAATGCTGCTATCCAGTTAATTTTCTGGTTTTATTTTCTGGAGAATCCTTTCAATTGATGGTAGGAAAGGCAAAATCCTCTCCACTAATAGAAACTCGGACGAAAAAGGGTCACGTATGGCAACATCTAGAATACCCACTACGAGTACTAGAACATTTCTCCTAGTAGAAGAAGAATAATCTATTTAGGATACTACTCCAGTGATCACCCCTACCTATTACGACCCACTTAGTATTTTCTATCCTGCATTATGCATAGTAATTGACAACATATCCTATTTAGAAAATAATATCTCAATCGTTTCTAATACCACCAATAATCCAAGTAATCCCATAATATCTAAAGCGAACCTTTGCTCTTCAGGGCACCGGGGAAGTCCTCTTGAAGCGCCTCCCATAGCGGCTTCCCTCCGATCTGAAGATCTTGGAATGCCGGGCAAGTAAAGTTGAGCAAAGGCACAGCGAGAATATTAGTGACAAACTCCAACGGCTTAGCTACGGTCGAATATATCCCAGCAAGCGCGTTGGGGCTGGCAAACTTCAACACTTCAGTCACGAAGCACAGCAAGTTATTATCCTTCAGCAGGCCGGCCAAGTTCAAGACACCACCTGTCAGGTCCCCTAGATCAACTCCGGCAAAGCTGTCTACTTTGCCCGTATTTCCTCCAATACTGTATTCAGATTATTGTTAGAAATTGCTCGATATGGGCGAATCTGACATGGGCTCTTACCTGCCAAGCTCCGGATATCTCGATATGAAGCCAATGATATCCAAGTTGAGTGAGATGAGTCCGTAGTCTACAGGTGTCTTGTACCAGTTCTCGGGTATCCTCTCCCAGCCTTCACGGTAGGTGAGATTATGTTCCGGGCCGTAAATGCCGTAGAAATTCCGGAGGTGGCTCTTAGCTAGCGTGGGCGTTAGCAAATCTCGCATAACCAGTCGCATTTAACAATCTATTGCATCAACTTACTCAGTGTTCCCTCTGGATTTTCGGTTGAGTGATTTCGAAACAGCCGACCTGCGAAAATGTAACCGGCGTTGCGTGCAATGAGCCCAGTCACAGGTCCGTAGTAGAAATCCGGGTTTGTATGGATGGTTTGATCCATACGGATCTTTGCGCGTTCGGCCATAAGACTCATATCGTAAGTCCCATCAGAAGACATATTGTACCAAGTCATGAACTTTTCCATGTTCAGCGCCCAGCTGTTGCCCGTAACGTAAATATCGTCTCGCGTGTTGGAGGAGTCTGCTTCGATAAAGTTGTGCGAGCCGATCAGGCCCTGGGGTTCACCTGCAGGTAATGTTAGCGGTCGATAAAGATATGCAACTAAGTAAGGAAGTTCTAACCGAGCAGACCGCCCAAGTTATTGAGAAGGTTGTTAACGCCAGTATCGGGACCCCCGATGGAGAAGCTGGGATCGAGAGACAGCACGTCCCCAGTCCAGACAGTACCCATGATCGCGAGGACAGTAGCCAGATCAACTCCCATGCCATAGACTATAGAACAAAGGTCAGAATATGCGACATCAGTACTTTCATGGGGCAATTTTACCTTTGTTGATCGCAGCAATCACATTTGCGAACTTTTCACGTTTAGCTTAGGAGTTCAAACCAGTTGCATAGGAATAACCTACCGATACCACTCCACTCCGCGGGATGTATCCATGGTTTGCGAGTGCATTGAGACCTGGACAGGGGCCTCTCTGGTCACCGTTCTCAAAGTTCGGGGGTTGGAATGTATGCTCGCCGGTAACTAGAGTTATTTCGTTACAAATTGTGACAGCGTAATAGGATTCTAGGACATACTATCAACAGGCGATTTCATCAAACTGAATAGAAACCGCTTTTCATGTTCCATCTTCGGCTTGCCTTGGTCCTGGGTGTTTGCGTATGGGCAACGCTTGTGCATGCCTTGATGTCCTAAGTGTCTATCGTGAGCGTTGATCGACCCTGGGAAGGCTGATACTAGATTGATAAGCGACAGTGGCCAGAGCAACAGCCCTGTAGTGAAGATGCGCATGATGAACAAATTTGTTGGTCCTCCACTAGAAATGTCAACTTCCCCTTGAGGTCGAAAGAATGATCATGTAACGAGTGGCCGACGAACACCGTTCTAGAAGAGTGGAACAATGTCTCCCTTAGATATTCCGCGGCAATTACGTGCCTAGGTAAATCTCCGAGTTGTACACATGCTGAGAAATGATGATCCCCTGAATGGCCCGTCCTAGCGCTGGAGTCCACTGTAAAATATATTCATTTATGGCCCAAAGGGGTACATCGTAAAAACAACTCGGTAGCCGTATGGTAGTTGTATTTCTGCCGCGAATAGCACGGCACAGACCCCTGATTTCTGCGCGGCTATCCGTGTGGCTACATCGCGGGTGGATTATGGATATATTTGTGTGTTCATGTTGATCGGACCTGAATTGGGAAGGAATGTTGGAACGCTCTTGTAGCGGACAACGAATCTCAGCGCACGCCTGGCGGCGTAGTCAAATCTTAGTGCAATGACAGTGTCGATCACGGTCTTGGGGGTTTAAGCTACATATGCGTCAAAAGTGGGTGTAGATCGTAAATATCGAAGGGGCCTTTCCCTCATGTAGCAGGACTGTAGACCCGCTACGGATAATAATCGGATGTTCTCCGTGGGGTGTAAGTGACAATGGGCCAGAACAGCCATTTTCCCGGAGCCTGTCCCGCTTGTGGGTCTTCCGAAAGACGGCTAGGGTCAATTATAGGAATGGAACGCAGAAACCCGTTCCGAGTGGGGGTGGAAGTGTCAAAATCCGAAGTTAAATCGTCGACTTGTCAAGCTCTTTGGTTTGCTGGATAAACGCTCGACCGGTATTTGCGGGCCCTTAAACGTCTAGAGAGGGCCAACAGCTGGGAAAAGCCTCGTACAAGTGCAGATCCCAATTTTCTAAATCAGCCACCATGTCCACGAGAGACAACTTCTCAATGGATCCCAAAAGACGCTCAAGATTACTGGTTGTATGGCGGTATGGAAAGTGCTTGTACGGAGAACCTGTGTCTTTTACATCAGGAACTCCTGAACCTGTAGACTAATTTCAGACCACGATGTGATGCTTGGCAGGGAGCTGAAACAGCGCCCGAAATGCCGACAACAACAGATCTGGTACCCAAATACCTGATCAAGTGGATAGGTAAGTTTTCAGCCAGGACGAACGCGGCATTTAAACTTGTGGTGTTCATACGCTAACAATCCCAACGGAGAGGCAGGACAACCCTTATATCCTAGCCAAGAGATCGTCATGAATCTCATAAGATTAGATTCTCCTGACTCGCCTGATCAAATTTGGCCAATGTCTTCTCTGTCAGTCTCTTGATCGCAAATGCATCCTTCCCTGTAAACTTCACCATGCGTTTGTTCAGTACAGCAGCCCTCGTGGCCGCCTTGTTCGCAACAACCGTGATAGCAGGGATGGAACAGTTGGCGGCCGTTTTACCCTCCTGCGCGGTAGGTAGTGCAGTCCTTCTGTCCCTCTTTTGGCGCGAACTGATAACCCTAATCCTTCAAAGCTCGACTGTATGATGACTTCGGTGTCACAATCATCCTGCGAGACAACCGACCAGGCATGTCTATGCAATGATGCACACTACACAGCTGTTCTACAGAAATGTGTTGTTTCTAGTTGCACAATTAAAGAATCTCTGAGTGAGTTCATAGTTTCATCTTTCATCCCACTGGTCATCACTCCTAACATACACAAGCTACAAAAAATGTCACAACATCGGCGTGCGGGGCTCCTATACGGGACCACACCAAGATTGTTTCTTATGCAGGGGTTGGAGGTGGAATTGTAGCCCTTATCGCATTCATTCTCCGGATGCTGACTCGATTGAGCTGCTGTGGTGGCGTCTTTGGTGCGGATGATTGGACAATGATATTGGCAATGGTATATACAACCTTCCCCTTTGCTCGAATCGAATTTTCTTCTCACTGGAAGTTTACAGGCTTTTCTCATTCCACTTTCAGCACTCTCGGTTGTCTGTATGATTCCCTTTGCAGTTGGTTAAACGCACGCTCACTCGACTAACCGTTCTATATAGTGGCCAATGCAGGTTTAGGAAAGGATATGTGGACCCTTCCCTTCGACAACATCACCCATATTCTTTATGTAAGTATGTTACAGAGAAGGCCAGGGACTAGTAAGTACGCTGGTAAAATCACTGTATTGCGCTAGAGAGAGAAAAAGAGAAGAAGCTATCTACAGATGCTAAGACTAATGTACTGGGAGCAAACAGTGATGGTCACGTGACCTTCCAACACCCCCCACGACTAGTGCAATAGTCGTCACAACATAGTTTAAACAACTCAATCCTCCAGTGTAAAAAAAAAAACCAGGTTTTGACTTTGAAATAACCCCCCATTTTTTGTATGTAAACCAGAAATCATGCAGTTTTATAGGGCACTAGACCCATCTGCAAGATCTATCTCCGGAACATGATCTTTCCAAGGGGCTTTGTCAATCCATCTGCTGCTATGTCGGCAGTGGGAATCTTGACGAATTTCACTGAACCAGCTGCCACTTCTTCTCGTAGGCGATGATACCTAATGGCAATGTGCTTAGTATTGATATGAAACTCTGGATTTGAAGCCAAAGCAATGGCTCCGTTGTTATCGGCATAAATGCAAATCGGCTTTTGTAGAAACCCAGCAATCCCAATCTCCGTCAATAATTGAGTGAGCTAAATAGCTTCCTGCGTAGTAAGCGCTTCAGCAATATACTCGGACTCGGTAGTAGACAGAGCAACACAAGATTGCTTCTTTGAAGTCTACGAAATTGCTCCACCGGCCATCATAAAAATGAAGCCAGACGTAGAGAGGCCTTTTTCACTATGGGGGCCAGCCCAATCTGCATCGCAGTACCCATATAAAGCATCATTTCTATGAAACGAAATAGATAGATACTTCGTGCCAGCAAGGTAACGAAACACTCGCTTCAATGCCTGGAAGTGTAATGGGCCTGGATTCTTGGTATGCTTCGCCAATTTAATAACGACAAACGAGATGTCAGGACGGGTCGAAACTATTAACTAGATCAGTATTCCGATTTTGGTTTGAAACTCTTTGATCTCTGCTTTTGAAGCGGTGCCGTCAAATACTATTAAAGGTTGCTTCTTATCCATTAGAGTAGCAACTGCCTTACAGTTTTTAAGACCGAAGCGAGTAAGGATTTTGTTAACGTAGTCGTACTGAGAGAGGTAAATCACCCCTTTATTGTAGTAGATATTGATAGTAAGGTATCGTTTAAGGACACTTTTGTTAGAAGTATCAAAGTGCTTAGCGATTGCGATCTTGAACCGTTGAATTTCTTGCTTAGAGGGTAACAGAATAAGTAGATCATCGATATAGATTATAATAAATAACGGAGCCTTCCCAGAGGCATACTTAATAAAGATTGAATAATCTAACTAGATACGGGTGAATCCTATAGAGATCAAGACATTGTATAGCAGTCTATACTACTCTCTAGGACTTTGTTTTAACCTATAAATCGTCTTTATAAGGAGACTAATATCGTCGGGATATAGCTCTCTTTAACCTTCAGGAAGCTTAATTTCAATTGGTTCTTTGAGTTCGGTATAAAGAAAGGCCGTTACGATATCGATATAATGAATTGGCTAGCCTTTAGCAGCCGTAATGGCTACGAAGATTTTGAAAGATATCGGCTTAGCGACGATAGTATAGACTTTATAAAAGTCTAGATCCTTAATCTGACGAAATCTACGAGTAATAAGTCTTACTTTATACGTGCTATTATACTTAATTTTGAATACCTATTGTAAGGAGAGAGGCTTTCGGCCCTTCGTATTCCTAGATGATCGAGGGATTCGACGCTATATACCGTTTTTGATCTGTCGAGTAAGTTCTTTATGAGTAGCATCTAACTATTTATCTTTCTCGATATAGGCTATTACTTCTTTCCAGCTATTAGGTTCGAAACCAATGTTATTAGCTGTCAATTTGGAAGATGTATACTGTGGCTCTTTAGAAGTAGCTGTAGAAAAAAGATTGATTAGTACCTCTAGGGTATCAGCTAGAAGCTGGAGGACGTTACTGTTAAAGAAAGATTGGCTAGCTAAGCTGTCAATATATACCTAGCTAGGCTTTTTAGGCCTTATCGATCGACGTACTGACCTAGGATCCGATAGATGCTGAGTAGACGGGACGTAGTCAGTATCGGGTAAATCATCTGGAATTGGGTCCAGATAGGAAAAATTAATTGGTAATTCCTAGTTAATAACCTGCCGAGAAGCTGGTTATAGCTCTACGAGAGCCCCTGCCTTACCTACGTTAAAGTAGGGACTATTATCCTTCCGTTGTACCTCCGTAAACCTGCCTAAACTACCCGCTATTTTATTATCGTCGCCGGGTAAATCGAAGGTATCGGGATCGGGGAGGGGAACGTCGATTATTGGAAGTAAAATACTTTTAATTTCTAGAATACGGTCAATTTCTGGAATACGGTATTCTAGAATTGAAGGGTTTGAAGGATCGAGTAGAGGGTTTACCGGAGTAAGAACTGTATTATCAATATTATCCTTAATAGAGAGAGGGGGCGGAGAACGAGAGTCACTCCGTATATTATATAGATTGTTAAGATATTGATGTATCTTACGACGATTATCTTCGTCGTAAAGGAAGTCAATTGGAACGTATTGTTTAGGTGATTAAGAAGCTAGTTGTTTATCCACCGAGTCGAAATTGAGATCGTACTTAGGATCTAGAAGTGTTGCTGGTGAGGGGTTCTTATTGAAAATGATATTGCGAGAACGCTCAATCTTTTTAGTGCGTATATTATATAATATATAGTTATTACCTTTATCGTAAGCGATCAACCTAGCTTCTTCTATATATAGATTAAGCTTTATAGGACGCTTTTCCTTTGGAATTAAGAACTAATATTGACAACCGAGAGTACGAAGGTTAGATAGGTTAGGTTTCCTGCTATATAGAGCTTCGTAAGGTAATATCTCGATTTTTGAAGCGTATAAACGATTTATCGTATAGTTGATTCTACTAAGTAAATAACCCTAAAGGTATTTCGGGAGTTAGTACTCCGCTATAATCGTAATAAGGGGTTTAACTAGGTAACGATTTTTGATCTCGGCGATACTATTTAGTTGCTTAGTATAGGGAGGGGTAGGGTCCTAAATTGTACCCTTCGAAGTAAGATTAGACTGCGCCAAAACCCGCAAACCCGCAAACCCGAAAAAACCCAACCCGCAAATGGGTCGGGTTTCGGGTCGACTTTCATAACCCGCAATGGGTTTCGGGTTTGTTTGGGTAACCCGCGCGGGTTTGCGGGTTACCCATGCGGGTTACTAAACAGTGCAAACATAGGAAGAGTCGTATCTACATAAATTATGCATTTCTTACCTGTATCTTGTTGTATTTCCTTTTCACCTCAAGGGGGTAAAAGCTCCTACAGCCCGCTCTAATTCCAATATACCACTACTATTTCTAACGGCTGTCAGAAATTACTTATGCGTGAAAAGCCACTTTGCCTATACTATTTCTGACCGCGGTCAGAGATAGTAGTAGTCTGAAGGGAGTTTTCAATGTATAGATAATTTCTGACCGCGGTTAGAGATAGCAGTAGTCTGAAGGGAGTTTTCAATGCATAGATAATTTCTGACCGCGGTCAGAAATAGCAGTAGTCGAAGGGTGCCTTAGACGTATAAACAAAACCGCCGTAGATTACTGTATTTTATTAGTATAAATCAGCATTTTTATACACTTCGCCATGGCTTAATTGGGAAAATTATGCAGCCGCGGGTTTTTGCGGGAACCCGCGCGGGTTACCCGCGCGGGTTGCGGGGCGGGTTGCGGGTTGGTCGAGTCTACCCATCGGGTTTGCGGGTTCGGGTTGCGGGTCGACTTCTCTTACCCATTCTCGGGTTTTGGCGCAGTCTAAGTAAGATAGGTGGCTAGTGGTTTATACTCTATTGTATCGTCACTATATACCTTCTTGATCGTGAACCCGAACTAGGTTTTTAAATAATTCTCTAGTTGAATGTAGGTTTCAGTAACCTGCGATCTGGATTAAAGAAGAAATAGCTATATAAACCGGCTAGTATCGTCAGTAAAGGTGATAAAATATCTCTCTCTACCGTACGAAGTAATTGAGATTGGTCCCTATACGTTAAGATAAATAAGATTACTAGGTTTTAATCTGATCGATCTCTCTTTACCGAAGGGGAGGGCATAACCCTTACCTTTAATGTATAGGGTATATAGAAAGGTAACACCGGCACCTTTCTTTAATTTGATGCTATTACTATGAACTTCTATCTTCTGTACCCTGTTCTCGCCAGCGTGACAAGCTCGACGATAAGCTAGATCAACTGAGATAGGCGTAGGAGAAGAACCTTTCTTTGTAGCAAAGACGGAATTAGGGGAACCCGAGACTAGATTGGAATCTAGCATAGTATCAATCTTATTAATACCAGAGCAGTTTAGCTAGTAGTGCTCTCCTTCGTAGGTAGCAAAACCGATAACTGATTCCGAGGACGTATATTGATCCTATAACTTGAACGTTATTAGGCCGTTCTTAACCTATATACCAATGTCTTCTTTGTCGAGAGCGGATATTGAGATCAAGCTAGCTTTGAGATCTAGAGCAAGCTATACCTTATGAAGGGTAAGCGAGCTAATAAGATTATCTGATTGTTTATTTGTCATTCGAAGAATGATATCTCTATATCCTTCTGTGTAGAAAACATCACCTATCGCTATTGATACAGGTAATATACATTGACGGAAATTAATAAAGACAGATTTGTGTAGAGTTATATAGGTGCTAGTGCCTGAATCGACTATCTATCGAGAGATATCGTCGTTACTAGTACGAAGTGCCTCGGTAGAGACTGTGTGTACCCTATATTCTTAAGTCTATTAAAACAAAGCGTTCGTGAATAATATATTGTACTTAGTAACTGGATCGTCAGAAGGAGGTCCTTGCTAAGGTAGTAGGTACGATGCCGGAGCATATACTGCATTAGCAGTGCGAGGTTGTTGATAAACCGGGATAATCCGTCCTTAGTTGTCAATCTGACCGATGATCTGGCCGGGTTGTGGGACAGTCACCTGCTATACTTGTTGTTAAGGAGGTTGTATGATTGCATTAGTAGAGCTAGTATTGTTCTTCAATGAACAGTTCCTCGAGTAATGATTACCCAGAGTATTATAGAACTTGCAGAAGATGACGTTCTCTTTACGTTCGAAGGGCTACTTCTTCTGCTTCTTATCCTTAGAGGACGAATCGTTAGAATCCTTATTCCTAGACTAGCCTCTAGATTTGTCATTGTTCCCTTTCTTATTATCCTTCTTCTTATTATTGAAGTTGTTAGAAGAGTTGTCTTTGTTAGACGACGACGAGGTAGAATTTGCTGTGTGTAACGAAGCATTGACTAGGCGGTTATATGTCTCCGTCTCTATAAACTCGATATATACCTTATCTATCCAGTTGGATTCCTTCTTATTGATTCGAAGGTTCTGAAGGAAGGCGGAATATCGTAGATTTTCGAAGATTGCTTTCTTAAAGTGACAGAGTTCGAGTATTGGGGATAGAGGCCTAGATGTAGCAGTCACATCTCGAAGAGCTTCCTGAAATTTGCGTATAAAGTCGGATACGGATCCACTCTTATAGCGAAGGTCAACCTACTTAGCAAAGTAGGTATAAGACTGTTGATACGAGGAACCGGCATACGTCTTCCGGAGCTTGCGGTATACTTCCTGTATATTAATAATTTGTGCTATAACGGATGTGGCTTCAACACCGAGGGTCTTACGAAGGTTGAGGAGTATCCTTATATTGCAAGATTCCTAGTTGTTATACTGGGAGTCATACTTCTTCTCTAGCCGAGAATTAATCTCTTGAAGTTCAATAGTCCTCGTGCGAATTTGAGAAGGTGTAATGACAATGTCAGCTTCAGAAGTAACTGCCTGAGCATCTTTAAGAAGATCTTCAGTGACTCCCTTTACCGTAGTGTCGTGGTATTGTGGAGGGGATGGGATCGGAATCCCGTAGGTGAGTATACGTGCATAGTAGCGATTGTTGGCAGTAAGTGCTAGGAACAGGGCGGTTTCCCAGTCCCTAAAATTGGACTGTCCCTTCAATTTAGGGACGGAGTCATGAAAATCAATCTCTGATCGATTGATATCGAAATTTTCAATATTAAATGAGCCAGCCATAACGTCTTCTTCGGCACCGGAGTGCTCGTCAATAGCTGTGGGGTATGTGAACGGCGGTCGACTGGGTCGAACGGCCAATGAGAGACGGCGGTCGACAGGATCGAACGGCCAAGTGTGGATAGTCGAAAGACTCGACCAGTGAAAACTCTGATTTGTGCGATCAAAGCTCCACAAAGTGGGGTGCCACGCAAAGCACTAAGGATTGGAGGAAAGATGGGGCGTGAGGCATACAGTGATGCAGAGGCTTCGACGGCCAGGTGCTCATAACCTGTTACAGAGAAGGCCAGGGACTAGTAAGTACGCTGGTAAAATCACTGTATTGCGCTAGAGAGAGAGAAAGAGAAGAAGCTATCTACAGATGCTAAGACTAATGTACTGGGAGCAAACAGTGATGGTCACGTGACCTTCCAACAAAGTACTACTATACCCCATGACTTGATGCTATTTCCAAGGCAAATTTGTCTAATTACCCTAGGTTTATTTTTGGGATGAATTGCTCTATTTGAGCATTCTCCCGCTGACCAAAATATCAATTTGCTGTTTCTACCTTCGTATCTTCCCTGATCGGACGTTCCGGAAAGCAACTTACGTGGCGATTGCATTGAATGTGGGCTACTGGATTGCCTTTGTCTTGATCTCGGTGTTCCAGTGTCGACCTCTACCCGGAGCGTGGCACCGCTGGTATGAAGAGGAGAAGTATAAGTGCAACCATATCAACGCACAGGGCTGGGCAGCGGCAGTGCTCAACATGGTCCTTGATATAATTGTCATGGTGCTTCCACTGCGCCAGCTATACCGTTTAAACCTTTCGGTCAAACGAAAATCATTTGTGATATGCATGTTTAGCCTGGGTATTTTGTACGCTTCCCTTCCAGCCTGTCCCACAATCTCATTGACTAACGCATGGGCTCAGTGTCACTCTTGTCAGCATCCTGCGGCTTAATTCACTCATTCACTTTGCTTCCACCACTAACCTAACATGTGAGTATTCCTTCTCTTTCTCTTTCCTCTTTCGATATATGCAATTTTATTGACATCTGTAAGGGGATTACGTGACAGTTGGGTATTGGAGTACTATTGAATGCGATGTTGGCGTTATATGTGCGTGTCTGCCGGCCATTAGATCCTTACTACGACGTGTATCCCCCGGACTCTTTGGCGATACTGAGCCGGCCAAATCATCATATGCTATGAACTCCCATTCCCGTGGGAATGGGTCCCAATTTGCAGGTATCCCTGCGCAGAGCAAGAATGCTGACCGGCAATTCTACCCACTTGATGAAGTGGACACGTCTGATGAAGCCCGGCTACATCACCCCCACCCGGTGTAGCTTAGGGGTCAAAATGGGGGGTGTCTTTTTACGTGGGGAAATGAATGTCTTTGATATTTCTCCATTTTATTTCTATTTTTGTATTTACTTATTTACTCCGTACAGTTATTACATTTTTGTGTCTCACTCTAAGAGATATGCATTCAACATAAGCATGATAAAAACTCTAGTTATTCACGAGTGTAATACTTTCTCTTGATATTGAATTAACCCCATATAATATAAGAGGGTGTCTCAACAGGCGTTAGTGAATAGGAACAAAGCAAGATAACATCGCTGCAGCCCCGATTCTGCAACAATAAGGGGCTTTAACTTTCAGGCACGGGGTAATCCTTTGCATGCCTTTTAACCGAAGGGTGGAGCAATTCACCGGTGGCTAGCTTTGGGGTCTCACATCCAGTATACAAAATATCAAACCCTAATATATTTATTCCGTAATTTCCCCGACAATGTGGCTTAACGGTACATCCGTATTCCGTACAACATATGTAGTCCGGATGTCCCCTGAAACTCTAAACTAGGGGTGTACCTTCACCGTTAGATTGGTGGCTGTTCGGTATGATCGGCATGTCAAACGGCATAGAGAAGACGCTAGGAGCTCGGCACGAATGGACAAGATCTAGAACATATTGATTGGCCGGCCAGCCCCACAAGCTAAAGGTATTCAACGTTTATTTCTACTTTGCCAAGGCACGGCTGCGCTTCGACCTAGTTCAATACGAGTGAGAGCTATTTCTATGTACTCCGTACAGAATAGTCTGTTACGGGATGGATATCCATGCGTGATACAGGCTAGTTCGGAAAGTGGAAGCTTATGTCGATCACTTGTAATGAAAAACGATGGAACATACTCAGTAGACAACCAAAGATTGTATTATGGGTGCTTGTGGTGCTTTTGCTTCTATGGCGGTCTTATATTAGAGCCAGGAGAAGGGGTCTGCGGGCATCCATATATCCCAAATAGCTCATTTTTTGTTTGCTTAGGATTTCTTCTTGGCTTTTTTGTTTTGGTTCTGGAGCACCCCGTCCTTTCTCTTTCGTCATGCGTCTTTCTGCAGTAGTTGGACTACTGTCCACCTTTTCGGCTGTCTTGGCTTCGTATGTGCACCTTCAGTCCCTGCTCAGACCTTAGTGACACAGAAGACTAATGCCGTAATACAGTGATCATGGACCAAATCATCGATATCATGACACGCACAAGCGGTCTTCAAATAACGAGAATTCCACCACTAAGTATGATTATGTCATTGTTGGCTCTGGCGCTGGAGGTGGCCCTGTAGCGGCACGATTGGCCATTGCAGGATACAAGGTGCTTCTTCTAGAAGCAGGAGATGACCAGGGGAATGCGACCCAGCAAGTTGTCCCCGCGCTTCAACTCCAGTCCACTGAATACGAGCCGATGAGATGGGATTATTTCGTGAACCATTACTCAAACTTGACTCGTCAAAAAGAAGACAGCAAGATGACTTACCGGACACCTACCGGTGATCTCCATGTTGGAAGCAATGCGCCCGATGGCTCCGACCCTTTAGGAATTCTATACCCTCGAGCAGGTACTTTGGGTGGATGCTCTGCTCACAATGCCATGATGTACGCCATATTTTCTCCGTGTTTTCTACCAGGCATGGCTATCGTATGCTGACCGGTATCTTGATAGCACTATCTACCCGTACGAAAATGACTGGGAGCAGCTGGCTAGTCTCACTGGCAATGATTCATGGTCTGCCTCAAATATGCGACAATACTTTCAGAGACTAGAACGCAACCGATATCTCCCCACCAGCATACTGGGCCACGGATTCGACGGATGGCTTACAACAAGTCTTACAGATTTGCGTCTCGTCATTGAAGATCAAAAGCTTCTGTCCTTGATCCTGGCCGGTGCAACCGCCGCGGGTCAAACACTGTTGGGTAAATTGATCACCACGGTCACAGGCCTTGCAGGAGTCCTACTACGTGACCCAAACAACCCCCTTCCCTCGCGCGACTATGAGGAGGGTCCATACCAAGTTCCTCTCGCGGTGGATGTTCCTGAGTACAAGCGTACAGGTCCTCGAGAATTCCTCATGAAGACAGTCAACGCTGTGAACTCCGATGGTTCGCGAAAATATCACCTTGATATCCAGTTGAACACCCTAGTGACGAAGCTTCGGTTCGATACCACCGGAGCCAAGCCACGGGCTACCGGTGTTGACTATCTTCGGGGGCAAAGTCTCTATCGTGCAGACCCTCGGGCTTCCCAGACATCGTCTAATGGGACACCAGGTAGCGTTAGCGCTGCTCGTGAAGTGATCCTGGCTGCAGGCTCGTTCAACACCCCCCAGCTGCTGAAGCTGAGTGGCATTGGTCCAAAGGAGGAGTTATCCAAGCTTGGAATTTCAACTCTAGTAGATCTCCCCGGTGTCGGTCGCAATCTTCAGGACCGATATGAGACAGGCACAGTGGGCAAGTCACCTACCGATTTCGTCCTCACATCCAAGTGTACCTTCTTGTATTCTCTTCCCGACCCATGTCTGGAACAATATGAGAACGATCCCCTCTTCAAAGGCACATATACCACCAATGGAATTGCCATCGCCATCATTCGCAAGTCTTCTGTCGCAGAGGATGAACCCGACCTTTTGATTTCAGGAGCACCCGTCAACTTCCCTGGCTATTACCCTAACTACTCTTATGAGGGTCTCAAAGATGCCCAGTACTGGACCTGGATTACATTGAAGTCTCGCTCCCGTAACAATGCTGGCACGGTTGAGCTCCGATCTACTGACCCGCGTGATACGCCCCTTATCAACTTCCACTCGTTCGATACCGGAGTGACCACGGACGGTGCAGATGATAAGGACCTTCAGGCTGTATACGAAGCAATGCAATTCTCCCGCACAATCTTCGATGACCTTATTCCCCTCGATGGAGGATTTGAAGAGGTCTGGCCGGGGCCCAATGTCACTACCGAGAGTGAAATGAAAGACTTCATTAAGCAAGAGGCATGGGGCCACCATGCCTGCTGTACAGCTGCTATTGGAGAAGATGGAGATCCTCAAGCTGTGCTGGATGCTGACTTCCGTGTTCGTGGTGTTGACGGCCTACGCGTTGTTGATGCTTCGGTCTTTCCCAAAATTCCGGGGTACTATATCGCCCTGCCCATTTATATGATCAGTGAGAAGGCTGCCGAGGTTATCATTGCCGATGCTGTATGATATTAGTACTGGTACTCTGTTCGCAAACATTTGCAAACTTCATGGCTTGTGTTTATTTTTTTGGCCATCTGTGACTGTGTCCATCTTCCATTCTTGTATAACTTCTTGACTTGAACATTTCTAAAGAGTTCCCAAAAGCATCCAGGCCTCAAGCCGTTGCGTAAAGAATACCATTGATAATTGGTTTTGTATTTTTCTTTCCTTCAAAATGATAGGATAGGATATGGACAATGCTAAGCTTAAAAAGTATCCCATTTGTATGATGTATGAGCGACCCAACTAACGCCTACTTTTTTGAACACAATGTCATCTACCATAGTAGGGATCTAGCATATCATCGTAGCAAAATGTGAATTTCTATGTATATAAAAAAGGTTCCAAAGATTAGATACCAACACCAGTAGATGCAATTACATCTAATTGATCAAATCATATAGATCATGCAGCTGTAGCCAAGGCAATAGGCGAAGCAATAACAGGTTCAATCTCAAATCGCATCTGCGGTGCGGTCGAATTGCACCAAGTGACAATACGAGTGATCTTCATCGTGCCCCTGGGGAATGAAGAAAGGATAAGACAAGCCGTAGCTTTACCCAACTTTGTCCCGAGGAGCTCTTGATACTCAGCACTACCATGCTTAAATACCATACAATCAACGCTTTGTGCCTGGGTCCATATGACACCCCATCTGGGGTATAGCTCATAGCATATATATGGGGCTGTTTCTTCATTCTCGACGTCAGTAAAGATAACATGTCTCAGAGTTTTCAAGTTAAAATCAAGCAGATATTGAGCTCGAGCAACCTCATTCCAATGAGGACCGTCTTCTCTGTAAATTCTCTCAGCAACAAGAACGCCACGAGCGACCCGATGTTCAAATTCATTAGCTTCGAGTGTGGTTGGCCCTGGATCCCGTCGGAGGTGTGTGTAGCGCCACCGCGGACCACCGCGAGCAATATTCATCGATTCGATATCGCCGCCTTCTAGTGCCATTTGCTCGACTGTGAAGTACGATTCATTGACTGCCCAAGGGATCAGTTGTGCTTCGTCGGTCATCTCCTCTATAGTTAATGTTGCTGGTTGAATTCGGCACCCTGGCGCTTGGGAATCGTCGATCCATGCTTGGTATTGTGCTCCTATATTTCTATACCTGGTAACATCCTTCGCTGTCGGTTCGATGCCGGTCCTCACCCTCCCGGTTGAGGTGTCGGCCGAGTCTTCAAGACGCTGGCGCTTGCTGCTGGCGCTATTGCCCCTCGATCCATAAAGGCCTCTGTGTTCAGCATCGGCTTTGGCTTGGTTATCTAGAGAACGCCGACGCCTCCTGTCACTAGAATCACTCGGCCATTCTTGGCTGGGAGTTTCGGGTTCTTCGGACTCTCCCGGGTCTTCGTACATTTCTTCATCATCATCTTGGTTCAGATCAAGGCTTTCTTCATCAGCTCCATTATAGTCATCTTCATCGGCATTGTATTCACCTGCACTCACGAAAAGAGAGCTTTCTCCTGATTCTGGGAATGATTCATATTGGGACTCACTGAGGCCAGCATCACTCATCTGGGGAGTAATACCTTGGTGTGAATTTCTTGTTGCGACAGAGTAAAAGTCATCACCAGATGAACCCTCGTTGGAATCAGTATCACTTACCTTGGGCGGGCTGTCTGTGTGCCGATTTCTTGATGAGAGGGAATATGGGTCATCACCAGATGAAGAGTCATCATCGAGATTTGTCTCGCTCATCGCGGGTGATATTCCTGTGTGAGAAACCTGGTCGAACATGGAAACCTCGCTGGGTGGGGGAGCTGGAGGATAACCATCCTCACTGCTATACTCATATTCACTGCTGACTTCACCTTCACTGTCAGCTTGGGGTTGGCTAGCTGGAGCAGCGCCTGCCACTACGTTCGTAGGAAGTGGTTGACGTAGGGCACGCTTTGGTGCTCTTTCCCGTGGGCGGTTAGGTTGGGCTCCAGAAGAATCGGTGTCGTCGTCACAATCGCACCGGCGTCTTGGAAAACACAACAGCGAGTGGCGAATCCTCTTCAACATTGTACTGGTATTTTGGTATAACTAAAATAATTGAAGTTAGGTTTAATCAAGTGTTAGCGTTGAATAATGTGCTTGGAAGGAAGAACATAAGACATGCATAGAGGGGTTATATAGGTAGCTTTAGACATTCGAATGGCCTTTGTTGGAGTTATTGTTAGCCTCATCGCGATCAAACACCAGAATTGCCATAAATAGGATCAAAGAAAATAAAAATAAAGGATGAACAATCAACAACAGCCCGACGACATGGACAAGGGATCCAAACATAGCCTTGGGAGACAAAAAACTCGAAGTGGAGCGGATAGCTTTGAGAAAACAATTGGAATGAGAATTTGTTCATGACAATGACATAGAGAATCAATTTAAAGATAAAAAGGCGAGAGAGTTGCAAGAATAGAGAACAAAGAACCTCACTTGAAGTTCTTTAAGAGCGTTGCCAATACGGTCTTTTGCATCAACTGGACAATCTCATTATATGGAAGAAGTGTGTAAGTATATCATGCTACCATGGTGAAAGAGGCTACTGGTTATGTTGGATCTCTAAAATCGAGGCGATATTAAACTATAGGGTAGAAGTTATAAATTTTTGAAATTTTTGACAGGCTCAATATGATGGCCTCATCTATTTGGAGTTGTACTCTAGTACAACTCATTTAATCATCATCGTCAGATATAGTATATACAGTTCGCAAAGTCTCAACAAATTCAATCTATATTTAAGCATCCTCCTTTTGTTCAATGGCGCCCTTCTCCTCGGTCCGCATCCAGACATCAACCTCAGCAGCCTCACCCTGGGGCAGGTGACGAGCCATGGAGACAATATCCCATGGAGTCTGGGCATCGCGGAAGACATGGTTCAGAGCCTCTAGGTTGCGGTTCATGGTCTCGGGGAAGAAGAAGTAAACCGAGATTGGAATGCAGGCAGAAATGACGGCGTACACGATGTAGTACTTATATCCAATGGTGTCGAGCGCAACGGGGGTGATCATGACAACCACGAAGTTCCACAACCAATGATTACCAGTGGAGATGGCGGACATGGCGACACGGAGACGCATAGGAGCGACTTCGGTACAGTAGAGGAAGTTACCGCCGAGGAATCCGACAGGATAGAAGGAGTTGAAGAGGAAGATGAAGACGGCCGAAACAATCGAGGCGTTTTTGTTGTCCTTAAAGCTGTTGGTGATGGCGAGGACAGTCATGCAGACAGACATACCAGTACCGCTGATCATGAAAATCTTTCGGCGGCCGAGTCGATCGATGGCGAAGAAGGAAATGAAGCTGCACAAGAACTTCCAAGTCATGGCACATGAAGACAGAATGCGAGCCAGGTCACTGTCCATGTTCAGGTTCTCTTCGAAGATTGTTGACACGTATGTCGAGATCAGGTTACCACCACACATCTGCTGGAAGAATTGCAGTGCGACACACAGACAGAACCGGTATAGAAGGCGTTCATCGTCGGGCTTGCTGAAGCTGAAGATATCCATGAGGGAGGTGCTGTCAACCGTGCTCTCGAGCGAGGTCTCAATGCCGGCAATTTCGACGCGAACGGCCTCATCCTCATCAGAAAGACCCTTGTAGGCAGCGAGACTGCTGGTAGCCTCTTCGATGCGGCCAACTCGCACGAGCCATCGAGGAGACTCGGGAAGCAAAAAGACCGAGAACACGACAACGAGGGAGAAGAATAGGGAAATAGCCAAGGGGATACGCCACTGCAATGCGCCCGAGACTTTGCTCAAGCCGAAATCAATCCAGTTACAGAGAACGTAACCCAAACAGATACAGATACCGTCCACAACAACGTGTTGTCCACGATGTTTGGCCGACGTGCACTCTGACTGCCAGACGGGGACGGCAACACTGAGTTGGCCGACACCGAGACCGAGGATGATACGGCCGACGATGAATTGTGGCAATCCATAAGCCGCAGTCTGCAGCACTTGGCCGATGATAGTAAGGATAGCACCCAAGAAGATAGTCTTGCGGCGACCGAGGCGGTCACCAAGGAATGTACACGACAAGGCTCCGAATAGAGCACCGAGCTGGAAGGATCCGATCACGGTACCCTTGCCTGTGGAGTGTTGTGCGCGTTCAGCGCCCGTGGTGTTGATTGTGTCGATTTCCGGGAAAACACTGACCCAGCTCTGCAATGTAGCCAGAGGGCCCAAGCCAGACTGGTTGTAACCGAAGACGATGAAGGCTGGTGCTACGATGAGCAATGCCTGCGCTACGCTCAGCGCCTTTCCTCGGAATAAGCTGACCATGTTGGAATGTGTGTAGAGAAGGTCACTCTGAGGGATGAGAGAAACAGAGAAAAAGGGCGGGTCTCTCCATGAGTTTATACCCTGCTTCGGTCAACATCCTCGTGGAGACCCCGCATCAGAAAAATTAACACATACTGTACTCGGTACAGTATGTATTCTGTACCTGTGGGCTGGAGAATTCCACAGTGGATAACATATCTCCACCATGGTACCACTTTTTTGGTCAAATTTCGACAAATGTCCGGCTGTGACTCGGCCATATCGCCGACTCCACGGGGTAGGTTTGGTCCCGGTGTGCAAGGATCCCGCCCCTGTGCCACTCCCGAGTGAAAGACCACTTTGATCCATGGACTTAGGGCCGAAAATCAAAGTTAAGTGGCGGGCCCGGGGGAGATGATCTTGCTGACCGTCTAGGATTGATTGGAGGAAATGCCGAAAATCGGAGCACAGACGGGAGCTCTGATCCCACCTGGGCATCTCTCTCATATTACCAAATATGGAATGAAGAGAGGGCAGGGGCAAAACCTGTTTAGGGTAATTTATTTTCCGACGAGTGCCGGGCATTAAATTTCAGAAATTTCCCACCTGAGCAGTTATTCGGTTTGGTTCCTGGCCACTCATTGCCTAGCTCGGGCCGGTCTCGGCATTCATAGGTCAAGAAAAGGCTTGAGCTAGCCTCAAAGGCTTGTCCACTTCTGCCAAGCGCCAAGATATCAACGAATCTAACCTGGGGATACCGAGGGGAAATGCAATGCACCCCACCATCTCGGTCACTCTCCGGATTTGCCCGTATTGTCATACACTGTTTCTTATGTATTCAAATCGTGGGGATTGTGTCATTGAGATGTCGACGAAAAAGAAAAGGAAGTCATTCTCGTTAAGCGAAGCCACCTTGTCCTTGACGATGTACATCGCATTTCCTCGCTGGTGGATCCCTTCCCGTGTTCCCCGAGAGATTTCCGAGTAGTATTGTTGAGAAAGACTCGGTCAAGATGACACACCTCGGTCCTCCACACCGTGGACGTATTCGGCTCACCCGCAGTCAGAGATTTCAACATTATTTGCGGGGTCTAGCGGATGTCTATGATAAGGGTAAAAAAGCTGACCAATAACTAAATGGATGTATTGAGCAAACCTATGTCAGCGGGTTTTGTAACGGCCAGATTGAAAGAGCACTGCTCACATCTACACCGCATAGCATAGAGGCTCAACCACCCTAACCTAGGGATCTTCTCGGCCTTTCTCTCCCGTAGTGCCCTGATACACTTTGGTTGTTTCCATCTATCACTTCCAATCCCTAATCAGACCAGACGATAGACCCCCATCCGACCCATCCGGTGTCATCTTGCAAATTTTTTTCATGGATAGCATCGGCAAAAACTTACATCGGTTAGGCGCGGAGTACAACTTTTCGTCTGAGAATCCCCGATCTCGGGAATCCTGCCCAGCTGAGCTCTGAAGGATTGCTATTATTTTATTAATAATATTCGAATTGGCTCTAGAAGCGAATTGCCCGCTAAATTAAGCGCGTCATATCCATGTGCCTTTATCGGGACGCGTGACCCAGCTTCCCGCCCGCCATAGACTACGACATTTGAAGATCGACCTTCCCTCGCGATTCAAGAGGTTCACATTTCACTTCGATAAAAAAAAAAATGTAGTTATCTTACCCTCGTGTCTCAACTCATCTGTGGTTAACATCCGAAATAATGTTACCTACTACAAGCTCAAGCTCCTCGGTCTTCTATGGGAGATATACTTGGTCCGAATTGCGAACCCGAGAGCCAAGGTATTATTAGTGTCCCGGGCCTCTTGATGAGGGTCTCTGCCAAGGCACATATAATGTACTTTTATCTCGTACGTAGTAAATCTGGTATATTATTACCTTGGGTAACACCATGGCTATTCGGTTATAATATTAATTAAGAAAATTGGATAATTGGGTAATTGGATTTAGGCGAGGCATAGGAAACCTCTTTCCGAGAAAAAAAAATCCACTGTCTCAAGAAGGCTAGCACCACTTGGGCACTTCCAAGGTTAAAAGTCTAATATAAACTTTGATCTCATACTTTATCCTCCTACAACACACAACACACAACACACAGTACATGTGTAGAGTATATTGACAGGGATTTCAAACTCATGTTACTAAAAGGAAATCAACCAAACATATGTTCCTGCCATAAAACAAACATTCAATCTATCTTTTTTTTTAAATAAAAAGATAAGACTAAAAAAAAAAGTGAGACCATCAGCTACAGGATTCAACTGTGCACATGAATATAACAGCTAGCATATGCACAGGAGGCCAAGACACCACATGGTATACCGTTTGGAGGCTGACACCTTAACCTATTATTGGGGAAACTGGCATCTAAGAATTGATGCCCAGTTCTACTGTGAAGCTAATATTATGACTGGATGGGTGGATCCTGAGATCTGAGGCTCACCGGACAACCTTCTCGACAATATCTCCGGTCTTAAAAATGATACTCATTTCGGCTCTCCACTGATTGAGATTGAGTATGCAAAATCATTTGGAAGACCTATTTGGTCACTTGGAGCTGGAAATTCCTGACAATTACCTTATCTGACCAGCTCAGTCATGGTAATATATACTTCAGTTATCTCCACTTGGTCTCACCTAGCTTCGTTATAGATATAAAATCGGCTGCATCATCGACTATATTTGAACTATTATATTAGCTACACCCTCGTGAACCCCCGATAACCATCATGTAGGCCTTGACCGCCTACTATATCTCTATTATCGCGGCCTCATATGCCTGGATTATTACTATAGGGGCCTGCGGTTCCCTCCAGTTGCTAGAAAACTAGGCCAGTCTCAGAAGGAGTTGCAGATTTATATTCTAAGATCATATTATAATTTCGATTTAAATTTGCACAAACAAGGGAGGTTACATGTTATGATCTCATTTTCATATACACAAGCCCGACATGGTAGGCAGAATAAAAGGCGGTCGGTAATGGGCGAATTGTCGTTTGTCTTCACTGCTGAATGACCTCACCTTGACAATTAATTTCCCGCTCGTCTTTCCCCTATCACCCGAGTTCACGTTGTCGCAAATCACAATGGACCCGCAAGAAGATGTTGCGCCAACCGAATCCCTATTTCGCCCAGCAAAAAAGCGCAAGTTCATGCGACGACGTCCCGATCATGACACCCCAGACACCGAAGAGGCCGATAACCAAAATGACAATCATGGCGCGTCACAAGCTCCTGGGGGCAATAATATCCGGCGTCCACGCGCAGTTAGAAAGGGTGGCATTGGATTTTCTACCGCATCACGACTAGGAGACTCTCAGGGCCAGCAACTAGCGCTCGTACCACCGGCCGGAGAAACTGAGGATGAGAAGATACGAGCAATGAATGAACGTTTCACAGGATATACTGGTCAAACAGTGGATGTTGACAAACACATGTACGAATCCTTTGCTACAGCTGATCGTCCAATTTGTTTGATATAGGCTAACGAGATAAGGATGGCATTCATAGATTCCGAGATGGCTAAGCGCTACCAGCCTCAGTCAAAAGTGGATCATTCAGATTCCAACCAACCGACGCAAGAGGAAGTCGCCGAGGTGCTGTCGCTGCCTGGGCATCAGACGCGCGAGCCTGCATCGCTAGGCAAACTCCATGAAATTGACCTCGGCCACGAAGCCACATTACGAAACATTGCGCGGACAGAAGCTGCGACTCGACAGATGGAGAAGGGAGAGTTGTCGACATCAGTGGATCATGCTGCGTCAGAGACGGGTCGCCCTGGCCCAGACGGCAAGTCATGGCGCAATCGCAAACAGAGGACAGAAGCAGACATCGCAAGAGATCGTCTTGTGGAGGAGGTACTACGTGAGAGCAAATGTGCGTGCCATTTCAATGTGAAATCCTATACGATCTATGTCTTTGCTCACACCAGCTGTTATAGTGGAAATTTATGATGAACACGAGGAGGAAACACAGCTTGATGACCAACAGGCTGCTGACGACCGAGTTGCTGAGCAATTCAGGCGAGACTTTATGGATGCGATGCAGTCTCGCCGTCGGACTCGGCCTGCAGCAAAACCGGTGGCCAATGTTGAAGCGCCTCGGGGTCCAAAGCTCGGAGGCAGTCGCAGTGCAAGAGCTGCAATGCGGGGAAAAAGAAGCACAGGCGGGAAAGAAATGATTGTTTCTCTCATCCAAAACGGCTGGTTTTCCTCGATATGGACTTTATGTACTTGATCCTCTGCGACATTTGTTTTTACTCGATATGCATACGATACCATAATGATTTCTGCGCCAATGCTATTTCTGACGGTTCTTTTCAAAGGGCTACTGACCAAGCACATGCACTACTATCAACCGTGGGTGACCTGCGATTTGCGGCCAATTACATGTATCCTTCTCGTTCCAAATATTAATATGGAGTAGAAGTATTGTAGTTTATCTTAGGTATAAGGTCTGCGATATTATTCCAAGCTAGCTAGATATTTAGTTCACGAAGTTTTTACATTCCCAAGGGCATCGGTGGTCTATTCTTTGGCATATATATATCCAGAGACATCCTAGATGGTCGATGCAGTTATTCCAACAGTTAAATGTTATTATTGCCCATACCTTGGAGCAGAATACAAGGGCAACAAGACACGAAAACCAAGCATGAGAAAAGAAGGGCAAAGGAAATGATATCTTGTTTATTTGGTACATCTTGTCCGGTATAACTAGATGGAACCTTTTTGCCTCGTTTCGAATTATAGTAAGCCACCTCACCAGTTTATCTTTACTTTCTTGTACAGCCCATTCTCTTCAAACACTCCATCTATCTCCAATATTTACAAATTTAACTATCAAAAAGATGCGAATTTAAGGAGGGTGATATTCGTGAATCTAATGTATTGAAGCGCTGCCCTGGTGAGTCAGCACAGCTGTTGAGCACGGATGACTAAGCCAGATCTTGAACTGCCCGTTTAGGTGCTAAAGCCAAAGCTACACCCTCACCAAAAAGACCCGCCCTTCTCCTGCCTCCAACCAGCCCCTCTAATTGTCCGTCCGATACGCATGGTCACGTCTTGATCTGTCTTCAGGCGACTCAATCCAAAATATCCACATACCCCTTTTGACAGCTACGACTCCCTTCCCAGATATACCCGCACAACTTTCGCGATGAACCCTTCCAACCCACCTCAAGCTGCCGAGTACGGTGGAGGTATGTGATCCCAGATATGCCATTCCAATCGCGCCTGCCGTTGCGATTCCAAAGAACGCTTGAGACCTATTCACTGCGCAAGATGCTAATCGCACGACTACAGATGAGGTGTCTGCTATTGTCCTAGACCCGGGATACTCAACCACTCGCGCGGGCTTTGCCGGTGAAGATGCTCCAAAGTCACTAATCCCAACCTACTATGGAAAATACAATGCCGATGGCCAAGAGAAACTCGTATTTGGCGACGACATATTCGTTACCCCACGACCCGGTCTGTCTATCCACAACCCGATTGGCAAGGATGGAATCGTCGAGGATTGGGATATGGCAGAGAAGGTGTGGGAGCACTCATTTACGTCGCGACTCACCGGCACGAAAGCGGGCAACCCCTTCCAGAACGGATTAAACGATGTTTCCGCAGACGAGCTCCCTACAGAAATGGAGGTGGAGTCAGAGGAGAAGCCCTTGTCGGACAGCCCATTGTTGATGACAGAGCCTGGATGGAACCCAGCGAAGGCACGCGAAAAGACCATTGAAATCGCAATGGAGAAATGGGATACCCCGGCCTTTTATCTCGCGCGCACTGGTGTTCTTGCGGCGTACGTATCACAGGCCCACTATGATATGTCTACCATTTACTGACCCAATTCCATGTGCAGTTTCGCTTCCGGCAAGGCATCCGCCCTTGTTATTGACATTGGAGCTTCCAATATCTCTGTTACCCCGATCCACGATGGCATGATTCTGAAACGGGGCGTGCAGCACTCTCCGTTGGGCGGTGATTACATCTCGTCGCAGATCAAGGCAATCTTCAAGGCCAACTCCCCACAACCCATCACAATCACGCCGCATTACCTTATCAGCTCGAAGTCGGCTGTCGAAGCTGGCCAACCGCCCCAAGCGAAATACAAGACCTTCCCGGCCGACAAGGCACCCGATGCATCGTACCGTGCTCTCCTTGAGGAGCGCACACTGTCCGAGTTCAAGGAATGTGTTGTCCAAGTTTGGCCCGGACCTACAAGGCTCTCAGCTCCTAGCCCCACAGGCGTCTCCAACGAAGATATGGCTAGAACTACCCCCGGTCGCCCATTCGAGTTCCCCGATGGGTACAACCAAGTCTTCGGCGTCGAACGTTTCCGCGCCGTGGAATCCCTCTTCGATGCCAAGGCTGCAATTCCAGACCCCGACTCGTCTTTCCCTCCCCCAACACCCGCCCAGACTATCCCAGAGCTTGTCAAGGCTTCTTTGGCTGGTGTTGATGTCGACCTCCGCCCCCACCTGTTGGCTAATGTCGTTGTTACCGGTGGATCCAGCTTGTTGTATGGATTCACTGATCGTCTGAACCACGAACTGATGCAGATATTCCCTGGCCCCAGGGTGCGTGTCACTGCCCCCGGTAACACCTCTGAGCGACGCTTCGGCTCCTGGATTGGAGGAAGTATCCTGGCTAGTTTGGGAACTTTCCACCAGATGTGGATCTCCAAGAAGGAGTACGAAGAACATGGGCCGAACATTGTGGAGAAGCGTTGCAAATGATTATTCATGTCTTCGCATTTCACTCGTGTCGGTTTTCGTTTTTTGATGTTTATGGGCGTTACTGCGCTATCTTGGGCGCTTGAAAGGGGGTTTTGAGCAACTCCGGATCTGGCCTGTCTGCAAGGAAGGACCTACAAAACTGATCTAGATATTTTGTGTACGACTAATGCCACTTGATTTGATTTGTCTGAGAATAATATGCAAGCCATGAAGGTGCACAGCAGTGTAGATCAACTATGTAAAGACAAGGCGTAGTAACAAGTACTAGTAATGATATCGGAACTATTTGAAATGGAATTATTTTTCTGGCTTTCATATCATCATCCACAATATGTATTTAATGCGAGATGTCCATTGGTGGGCATGCTTTATCCTTCTGCATCGATGTGTTGGCAGCCAACACATCAATGCCGGGGTGGTCCGTGTTTGGTTTATTTATATTAGCCATCCCTGCCCAAGTGGACTTTCTGACAATTTCTTTCCCCATGAGCATTGCCAAAATACTCTAATACACATCAATTCAGAAATGCGACCAAGGAGGGGGGAAAACGATAAAGAAACAGAACAGGGATCAAACGAAGCGCACATGACCATTAACATACATCATCATCATGAATACTCGAATTCATGAGCACAAGAAAAGAAAACAAGACTACATCAACATCGTTACATCCGAGGCTGCGGGCCAAACACGCTAGAGTCTACAGGATATGAACACAATCAAAATGCGAGACAGTCAAGGGTATGAAAATGAAAACGAAAGGGATATCGCGAGTCGAGGTCAAAGGTCAAAGCAGGCAGATACACAAGGGACAGTATCCTCATCGGTTAGCTCGGGCAATGAGCCAATGCAGGACAGCGTCAAGATTGGTCTCCTCCTTGGCGCTGATACCATAACAGCTTACTTCGCGATGAGTGATGGATTTCAGATCCATGGCCTCGATGATCTCATCAACAGACAGCTTGTCTGGAAGATCGGACTTGTTCCCAAGGACTAGGAGGGGGATACTATCCAGTGTGGGCTTTTTCATCAGGTCGTGAAGTTCTTCTGTCGCTACTGGGAGTGCGGCGCGGTCTGCTGCATCCACAATATACCTTTATTGACATTGGTTAGTATGCTGGAAGGGAGAGATGACCCAAGAAATTAGGAAAAAATAAGCCAGTCTTACACGATCGCGTTGACGCCCCGACAATACCGTTCCCACATCGGCCGAAATCGAGGTTGGCCACCCAGATCCCAGCTGCGGGGATATATTAGCGCCGCGGTGCTTGATCGGGAAGGATGAACATACCATTTCAATGTCACATGGCCTTTCTGCACTCTTTTGGTGTTGAATCCGATTGTCGGGATGGAGCTATAAGGGATTAGAGCCTGGCTGGGACAGAATGACCTCAGATGTGAGATCATCTATAACCTACTCAATAGTGAATTCTCCACCCTATTCCCTGTCAGCAACCGGGACCCATCAGGACTTATCAAATCGACTTACCGCCAACACACGCAGCAGAGAAGACTTGCCGGCATTCTGAAGACCGATCATGGTGACATCCATCTCGCTGGCCCTATATGGAGTTCAGCATGGCTTCATCTGCGGGGACGGGCCGTGGTCTCCCGAGAACTGCATCTATCAAACGGCCCACTTACCAGAACATCCTCAGAAGCCAGTCATAGATAGCACGAAATATGCCGGCCATAACGAAGAGAGGGGAATATGAAAACGAAAACGAAAATGAAAAAAAGGAGAGAAGAGAAGAAAAAAAGTGAGAGTATAGTTGAATAGAACTAAAAAAAAGAAAGCCAGTAGAAAGATTAGGAGCTGAGAAGTTGCCTTGTGTGTGGAAAAAGCTCAGGATGACAAAAGCCAGAGAGTGGGGTCAACCTTGTAACTGCGCAACAGGTTGATATTCTTGATATTCTTGGATTTCTGGATTGGATGAAGAGATAAAAGGTAAAGAGGGAAAAACAGAAGAAAAGAAAAAAAAAAGAGCAAGATCGTCACACCGTAACAAGAGATCAACCTAGAAGCAATAATTTTAAAAGGCCTATTATTAGAGGGGATATTTTAAGGGGATAACCGCCGGCAGATATCAATAAAAGGATATTCAAGGATATTGAATCTACTATTTTTCCATGGAGAATTGACCGATCTACCTACACACATGACCCGAGGGCGCTTAGGCTCCATTGGCCTCAAGGAGGGGGATGAACAGCGTTGTGCAGCATACCCAGCCCGTGTGGCGCTAGAAAATTTCCACATTTCTGGGTCGTTGGTGTTGTAAGTTTAATCAGGCTAGAGTTTACTAGGATTAGGGGTTCAAGAAAATGTCAGGAACTTGCAGTTGAGCTAAAGTTTTAGTATATTGTAGGGATATGAACGAGATGAACGGCAACCTCTTGAACGTCGAACATTCCGGGTATCGAAGCCTCAATTTGGCCTTAGGCCACAATGTATATCACCACGTGAGGATAAGCATCCGGATCCACCCTCGAAAAATTTCCCCAAGCAGAACAGACCTCTCGTCTTCGTTTGGCAGCTGCCATTGTCGGTTCAATTCCTGTGGTCTAGTGGCTGATATAATATTGGGCGGAGGAATCGAACCGATACCGTCGCGCTTTTATCTTTACATTGACGGTCGCATTTATTGTGCCGTTCAGTCTTTTTTTTCTATACCGCATCAACCGGCTTTTGAGAGCTGCGAATTTCAATCATGGCGCCCGCAGCCACAGATACCCAGTGGTCAGTCGAATACGACACCCTGCGCCGGGAGAACCTGTTCAAGAATCCTCCCACGGATCACACGGCTTATCCATCGCTGGCCGAGTCGATTCGACCGCATATCGATTCCTTCAATGCTCTCTTCGACGACAGCAAGATCCTGGAGGCAGGATTGAAGGATATCGGTATTAAGACCTTCCTCGATGGTGAACTCGAAACCTACGAGCAGAAGAAGGCCCGCCAAGCAGAAGGCGTTCGCCCGCCGAAGCGGAATCGCTTGAACGTCCGCGTGCGTGAAATTTTCCTCGACAAGCCTACCCTGCCCCCCACCAACAAGTACACTACCCGAAACCGTGAAATCTACCCCTCGGAATGCAGAGAGCGTCATGCGACGTACCGTGGTAAGCTCCGCGCTCGCCTCGAGTACCAGGTCAACAATGGAGACTGGATGGAGTCTGTCCGCGAGCTCGGTAATGTCCCAATTATGGTGCGCACCAACCGGTGTCACCTCGAAAAGGCTACCCCCGATGAGCTTGTTCGACACAACGAAGAATCGGAGGAGCTGGGCGGTTTCTACATCGTTAACGGTAACGAGAAGCTCATTCGTATGCTGGTCGTCGGCAAGCGCAACTACCCCATGTCCATCATTCGTGGCTCTTTTGTCAAGCGTGGTCAGACCTACACAAAGTTCGGTGTTCAAATACGATCGGTCCGTCCCGATCAGACTTCGCAGACCAACGTGCTTCACTATCTATCCGATGGAAACGTCACCTTCCGTTTCTCATGGCGCAAGAATGAATACCTTATCCCCGTGATGATGATCCTCAAGGCACTTGCCGAGACCAATGACCGCGAGATCTTCGAGGCCATTGTCGGTGGTGCTTCCTCCAAGGGCATGAACAACACTTTCGTCACAGACCGTGTCGAGCTTTTGTTGAGAACCTACCACGCCTACCAGAAGCACAGCCAGTACGATTGCCGATCCCACCTGGGCAAGGCTTTCCGTCCTGTGCTCGGAGTCCCCGCTGATATGCCCGACGAGGAAGTTGGCACAGAGTTCCTCCGCAAGGTTGTTCTCCCCCATCTTGGAAATGAGAATGTCACCGAGACTCAAGACTGGGACAAGTTCAAGTTGATCACCTTCATGATCCGCAAGCTTTACTCCACAGTCGCAGGAGACTGTGCACCTGACAATCCCGATGCCGTCTCCAACCAAGAAATTCTGCTTGGTGGCTTCCTTTACGGAATGATTCTCAAGGAACGTATCGAGGAGTGGCTCCGTTCATTTGGTCCCCTTGCCCGAGACTGGTCCATCCGCAACAATGGCGCAAAGTTCACGGATGAAGCATTCGAAAGAGACTTCCTCTCCAAGATCGTTAAGCGGTCAAACGAGAATATTGGTAATGCGCTCGAGTACTTCCTCTCCACCGGTAACTTGGTTAGTCCTACGGGTCTTGATTTGCAACAAACTTCAGGTTACACCGTCATTGCAGAGAAGATCAACTTCTACCGTTTCATCAGTCACTTCCGCATGATTCACCGTGGTAGTTTCTTCGCCCAGTTGAAGACTACAACTGTCCGCAAACTGCTACCAGAAAGTTGGGGTTTCCTTTGCCCTGTTCACACTCCTGATGGATCGCCTTGTGGTCTGCTCAACCATTTGTCGCATAAGTGTTTAATCTCTACGGATAACCTGGATGTATCTCATCTGCCCCGGACTCTGGTTCAGCTTGGTGTCAAGTCTGAGTCTTCTGTGGCTCTGGACGAGAGCGTGGTTGTCCAGTTGGATGGCCGAATCATCGGTTACTGCTCGCCCAAGCAGGCCCAGAGAATCGCCGATACCATCCGGTACTGGAAAGTCGAAGGCAAAAACAACATCCCTCGTGAATTGGAAATTGGATATATTCCCAACTCGAGCGGCGGTCAGTACCCAGGTATCTACATGTTCTCTCAATCAGCGAGAATGTACCGCCCCGTTAAGTATCTGGCGTTGGATAAGCTGGATTACGTTGGACCCTTCGAGCAGCCCTTCATGGAGATTGCCTGTGTGGAATCTGACCTGATCCCCGGTCTTTCGACCCACATTGAGTTCACGCCCACGAACATCCTCTCTATCGTCGCGAACATGACCCCCTTCTCCGACTACAACCAATCTCCGCGTAACATGTACCAGTGTCAGATGAGCAAACAAACCATGGGTACGCCAGGTACCTCGATTGCCCACCGTACCGATAACAAGTTGTACCGCATCCAAACGGGTCAAACGCCAATTGTGCGGCCACCTCTCTACAACGCCTACGGTCTGGACAACTTCCCCAACGGTATGAACGCAGTTGTGGCTATTATCTCCTACACCGGTTACGACATGGACGACGCTATGATTATCAACAAGTCCGCACACGAACGTGGCTTCGGTCACGGTACAGTCTACAAGACCAAGGTCGTCACTCTTGCCGATAACGACTCCCGCCGGACCAAGTCTAAGCGTGAGGTCACCAAGCTGTTTGGATTCGCCCCTGGCGACGAGGTCAAAGAGCAGGTGCGCCACATTATCGACGAGGATGGAATGCCGCACTTGGGTGCTCGCGTCAAGGAAGGTGACAAGATCGCTGCTTGGCACAATGTCCGCTTCGACCCTGCCTCCGACTCGTACGTCAATGTCGATGGAATCACCCACTACATGAAATACAAGGATGCCGAAGAAGGTTACGTCGACAGCATCCGCATTATGGGTTCCGAGTCTGGTAACGAGCCCGCTCAATCGCTCAGCGTCAAGTACCGCATTCCCCGAAAGCCCGTCATTGGTGACAAGTTCTCCTCTCGTCACGGTCAGAAGGGTGTTTTGTCTCAACTCTGGCCTGCGGTCGACATGCCCTTCTCCGAGAGCGGCATGCAGCCCGATCTGATCATTAACCCTCACGCTTTCCCATCCCGTAAGTTTCCATTGCTCTTAACATAAAATGTATACATTCGTCTAACATATCCCCAGGTATGACAATCGCTCAAATGATCGAATCCATGGCCGGCAAAGCCGGTGCCATGCACGGCCTCCCACAAGACTCTACTCCCTTCCAATTCTCCGAAGAAAACACCGCAACCGATTACTTCGGCGAGCAGCTCCGCAAAGCCGGCTACAACTACTACGGTAACGAGCCGTTGTACAGTGGTGTCACGGGCCGCGAGTTCTCCGCCGACATCTACATGGGCTTGGTCTACTACCAGCGTCTGCGTCACATGGTGAACGACAAGTTCCAAGTGCGTACTACTGGTCCCGTCAATGCGCTCACGGGCCAGCCCGTGAAGGGTCGTGCCAAGGGTGGTGGTATCCGTGTCGGAGAGATGGAGCGTGATTCGCTCATTGCTCACGGTGCGGCCTTCTTGCTGCAGGATCGTCTCATGAACTGCTCCGATGCCCAGCACACCTGGATCTGTCGCTGCTGTGGTTCCTTCCTGTCCACGCAGGTTGCTGTTTCCGGCTCGTCCCGCTCCCGCACTGCTATCAACCCTGGTGCTGCTGCTGCCGCTGCCAAGGCTGCTCCTAACCAGCAGAGCACCAATGCTCATGCTGGTGCTGCTATTGGTGCCGTTGGTGGTGTCAACGGTGTTGTGCGTTGCCGTCGTTGTGCCCGTGAGGCTACCTTCGATGACTCCCGTGCTGAGGTCTGGGAGGACGGTAATGGACAGCGCTACGTCGGTGGTGACAATGTTACTATCGTTGCTGTGCCTGGTGTGCTGCGGTACTTGGATGTCGAGTTGGCGGCTATGGGTATCAGAATGAAGTTCTTGGTGGATAACTGATATATCGGTCTCTGACTGGGGATCTCAAAAATTGTTTCCTTGTTTCAATGTCATAGGTGGCGTATACCTGGTTTAATGATTATACTCATCTGCTTCTTGTCTTATTTATTTTTTGCAAATATTCCTTTGTGTACGAACAGCATTTCCTACCAAAATCAGAAGTATTATAAGAGAATGGTCTTTGTATGGGCTACTGCCAGCTATAATCTTAGGAAGATATTCCATGCTGTGATTACTCTTACTACTACATCTTTTCTCTCATTGGTATACTCCTTCAGATGAGCTCTGAATTTGCAAGAAACATGTAAAGTAGAGTTCTGCATGGTCACCAGCTACAACCAGTAACCCTGAGAGGTAAAAAAGGCATGAGTGAAGGGCCATCCATTTTGGGAAGGTCCCTGGGACGTGAACATATAAAAGGCCTCCCCGCACCCTTCCACACCTTCTCTTCTTCTTCTTCTTCAACCTCTGGACCTCCATCTCACTGTAAACCCCACGAGACAGCGCAGGCAGAGGGTCCCGTAGCACATGGTGCGTGCACACCTATGGAGGGACATCAGCATTACCCAGTTGCTGAAAGTTATACCATATACTCGATGCCCACCAAGATCGAATATCAGTTCTCGTGCGAGTCTTTTGATAAAGTCATGGCTGAGCATTTGGGCTCCATAGTCACTGGCGGATCCCACAGAACACACCCCTAGTTGAAACAAGTTTACCAACGGATTCAAAGATCTTAGGATCCAATTATAACAAGATAAAATATTCATTACACTGATAAGTGTCGTACTACATGTCAATCTCGTTATACTTCCAATCCTTCCTCCAAATATTATACTTCATATATTAACCTCAAACTGAGCCCTTCTCCCCATCGAGGTCACTCTGCACCAAACCGGTCTTCGCAGACGGGAACTCCCTTGTGCGCACCTTGTTCTCAAACAGAACATCCAACTCCGCGTAAGAGCGGCCCTTGGGCTCAGGAAGTCTGAAGAACGACCAAACAAAGCAGAGAACGCACAGTCCACCCCAGAAGAATCCAGACTTCCCCCTCCAATTCCACGCATCCACGTTCAGCATATAAGGAATAATAATTCCAGTCACCAGATTGAGCACGTTATACGTATTCCTCGCCAGCACAACCGTCTTAGTACGAAGTCTCGACGACGGCATCTCCGAAACCAGCGAGAAACACACCGGCCCGATAGTCGAATCATAGATGAACGTATACACAAGCAGCATGGACCCCGTCGCCCACGAGAGCGAGGAAGTTGCCGGCGGGATCGACACAAATCCAATAACAAACAGGATAACAGCCAAGATCGACAGGCCACCCACATATAGCGTGCGACGACCAAAGTACGTCATAAACAGCCAAGAGCTAAACGTACCAACAACACCAATCGCATACTGCGCCAGCGACATCGTAAACGACTGCGAGTCTGCCAGTCCAGCACGCTGGTAGAAGACAGTCGAGTAGCCCATCAAACCGCTACCGCACAAACTCTGCACTGCCCAGACACAGCACGCAATCTCCGTGCGTCGCAGGTCAGTCCCCTTAAAGCAGTCCATATAAGAAGCACCAGTCTCGGCCTGCTGTTCCATGGCATTCGTATACACAATCATGGAGACCGTTTCCTCGGCGCTGAAATTGGGATCTGCGCGCGTGAGCCGCTTCACAGACTTGATAGCGTCTTCGCGTCTGTCCTTCCGAACAAGCCACCACGGACTCTCAGGTGCGAGATAGACTCCAATAAAGATTGGCACGGGCCACACCCACTGGATGGCGAAGGGAATGCGGTATGCCCACTGGTCGGTGTGTCCGACAAGGCCCTTCAGCACGCCTGAGGCGATGAGCTGTCCGAAGACCCAGCACAGGTTGACGTAGGTGGTGAGATAGGCGCGCAGAGCGACGGGACATACCTCCGAAGCGTATGTGACTGTGAGAGTCTGGTAGACGCCCAGTGGGATACCCATGAGGAACTCGCCGGCGACGAGAGTCTGGACGTTTGGCGCGAAGAAGAGGATGAAGATGAAGCCGACGGTTGTGGCGAGACAGGTCATTAGAGTTTTGCGGTATCCGTAGCGTTCGGAGACGATACCGTTAACGAAGAGGCCTAGGATCTGGCCGACGCTCATTGCGTTTGTTAGGCCTGCTTGCCAGGAGGCGGCGAGACCGTATTTGCCGTCTGACATGAGTTCGCCGTATTTCATGTTGAAGGCTGGGAAGGCGAAGAATGAGCCGATCAGGACTACGTCGTAGCCTTCCATGATGATGGCGCAGGAGAGGAGGAGAGACCAGGCTACGGCTTTGGGGTAGAGCTTTAGGGCTTGCATGGCGGTCATGTTGTGTTCTTTTTCGATGGCGGCGTGGGCTTCGGTGGTGGTTTGGAGGTCTGAGTAGCCTGGCAGGACATGGCTTGCTGGTTCGATTGAGTCGGCATGTCGCTCGACATGGTCGCTGGCTTGCTTTTCAGAAGCCATTGCTAGGATAGGGGTTGCCAATGGTGGCTCCGAGGATGATTCCAGATTGTTACTCGATGTGAACAGGACTGGATAGAAGAGAAGTGTTTCATGCGGGCATCGTCGATCATTTATATACAAAATTGTGCTAATGGTCGTCGATGGTCGTCCATAATGAGCGAGGATGGGGCCGGGGTTCCATTGGCCCACTCGTCCGTCGAGGTTAATCCTTGCTTAGTTCTTGCAACAAGCGAGAGGAGTGGCGTGAGAAGACTTTCCCCGGTTTTATTTGCACGGGGTAGGCTTGGGCTAGCCTACTATCCCCGGATTTTCTAGGGGTGTCGTGATTGGGCTGATGTCGGGCCGGGCAGAGATGAAGAATGATAATTTGTTCTCATTGGCCTTTTCATCCAGCCGTGCTTCGTATTGGCCGTTTTAGGGCTGTCGCTTCTCCCAATCCAGTTAGAGGGAGCCGGGGGATAACACGGGTTTGATTGGTGAGATGTCGGCCCGACTTGCTCCTTTCTTCCCCTCATTTCTTGTCGATTGAACTAACGGAGGTCAGTTAGGCCCGGAAAGAGAGACGAATCGGCATACGTACTCTCGGCATTTCACATGGTCAGACATTTGGTCTGTTCGGTATGTTTTCCGGGTCGTGGGATTAAGTGGAATTCAGTGGAATCCAGTGAAATTCAGTAATAATAAGTGGGAATCCCCTATCATACTGAAACAGCCCCCAACCATCGTCCAACATTAAGACACCCCGCGGGAGAAATGAGTGGCACAGAGCGTTCCTGATAATGATTGTCGGCCCGACATTCAGTCAATGAGAGCAATGGCCCTCCCTACATGATATCGGATGAGCATGGACTGCATCGTCGAGTCTTGGAGAAGTACTTAGTGCATTGATTATCTAAAATCTAATGTTTTAAGCATATATATATGGCCTCCTCGCATTCTCCTATTTTGGGATTTTATTTTCTCTTCTATTACCATTTCTTGAATTGCAATCTATTACATCCACCATGTCTCCCGCTATAATTAGCGAAAAGTGGTGGAAAAATTCCATCATCTACCAAATCTACCCCGCCAGCTTCAAAGATTCCAATGGCGATGGTATTGGCGACATCCCAGGGATTATCTCGTCCCTCGATTACATCACAAGTCTTGGTGTAGATGTGATTTGGCTGTGTCCCATGTACGACAGCCCGCAGATTGACATGGGTTATGATGTTGCCGACTACCAAAGCGTGTATGGCCCATACGGTACTGTCCAGGACATGGAGACCCTCATCGATGCGTGCCACAAGCGAGGACTTCGAATTATTCTGGATCTAGTGGTGAATCACACTTCAGACCAGCACAAATGGTTCAAAGAATCCCGATCTTCAAAGACAAACCCCAAGCGCGACTGGTACATCTGGAAGCCAGCGAAATACGACGCCGATGGGAATCGTCAGCCACCAAACAACTGGCGCAGTATTTTCGGAGGCAGCGCGTGGGAGTGGGACGAGCCAACACAAGAATATTATCTCCATCTCTTCTGTGTTGAACAGCCCGATGTCAATTGGGAGAATCCTGAGACTCGCCAGGCAGTCTACGAGGAGGCGATGGAATTCTGGTTACAGAAGGGCGTGGATGGTTTCCGCGTTGATACGGTTAACATGTACAGCAAGCACCCCGAGTATCCCAATGCTCCAATCCTTGATCCAAAGTCTGACACACAGCCTGCTTTCTCGCTTTTCTGTAACGGTCCTCGCATTCACGAGTACATGCGCGAGATGAACGACGTGCTTTCCAAATATGATGCCATGACGGTTGGCGAACTACCAAACACACATACCGTGGAGGGTGTTCTGCGCTATGTCTCAGCGGCAGAGAAGCAGCTGAGCATGGTCTTCCAATTCGATCTTGTGGAACTCGGCCAGGGCAAGGACTATAAGTTCCTGACCACTTTGCCGGGCTGGAACCTACGAGAACTGAAGACTGCCGTCCAGAGCACACAAGATATCATCAAGGGCACCGATGCGTGGACCACAGTGTTCATGGAAAACCACGACCAAGGCCGCTCTGTGAGTCGCTTCGGCTCTGATAAGACACCAGAGTTGAGGGTTCGGTCTGCAAAGATGCTTGCCATGATGCAGGGCACACTTTCCGGCACGCAGTTTATCTACCAGGGTCAGGAGATCGGAATGGTAAATGCGCCCCGGGAGTGGACGATTGACGAATACAAAGACATCGATAGCACCAACTACTATCGAATGACAAGAAAAATGTCTGGCGACGACCCAGCCGCGTTGAGCGTGGTTATGGACTCGCTGCAGCATTTGGCGAGAGATCATTCCAGACTTCCCATGCAGTGGAGTGCTGAGGCCAATGCCGGCTTTTCGCCAGCCTCATCGGCAAAGCCGTGGATGCGCCCGAATGATAATTACCCCGAGATCAATGTGGAGCTCCAGGAGAAAGATTCATCTTCTGTGCTTTCCTTCTGGAAATTCATGAATGCGCTGCGCAAGGAGTATGCCGATCTTCTGGTCTTTGGAGAGTTTGAGATCATCGACGAGCCAAATCCAAGTGTCTTCACCTATACCAAGACAAATCACAACCAGACTGTTTTGGTGGTTCTCAACTTCTCAGATACAACACAGAAGTTTGAGAAACCGGCTTCTGTGAAGGGTGAAGATTGGAAATTGCTGGCTAGCAATGTAGATGGGCACAAGGAGGACTTACAGGCGTTTGAGGGTAGAGTGTTTTTGGTTTAGGGCTGGGATATACTACTGGTTAGATAGCTCATACTCAAATTGGTTTAGATATCATTATGGGAGATTACAATCAATTTTCCTTCATGAATGATTCGAGTCAGACCTTTCTATCCAATTTTCTACGTAAATACTACCTGTATGTATGATATACCCGGTCTGAAGACACTGTGCACCCCAGTTTCACCCCGGACCACCCCGGATTCCCCCAGATTTATTAAGCTTTTAATTAATGCATCTATGTACGGATTAGGACTACCTTGGTAAGTTGCACATGTTAATTTCTCATCGCTCCCAACGACCAACTCCGGTCATACGGAAATCAACCCGGTGGCGCTACGCTGAAAGAGTCCTAAGTGCCAAGCCTTGACTCTTCAACGTCCAACGCGGGGAAAAGATGTACAGTGGCGTTGCATGAGTATTTGCACCCCAGTACCTCGGAAGGCTTAGGCCCCACTTATTTTCTGCCGTTTAAAACTTCTCATTTAGAAACACCTAACTAACTAGCTAGTAACTAGTATGCCAACCTTCGTATTTAATAACCTCTTCCACCCGGTGCGGCATAGTCTCTGCTAAATTTACAAAGTGGTGCACTGTCAGATTCTCCCATGCATACTGCGCTGCATCTACTAGCTCGGCCCAGGTCTCCTGATTATTAGGCATCTCTCGTAACCAAGGCCTTAGCCTTAAGATATCTGCCTTTAATAACGCCCAGAGGTTCTCAATCGGGTTTAAATCAGGTGAATAAGGAGGCCAATCCATAACATTTACACCTATCTCGCGTAGTAGTTCTTGAACTATATACGCAGTGTGTGTAGGTGCGTTATCATGTTGGAAGATAGCATCTTCATTTGCAAGTAAGGTAGGAAGGATACCACGGTAGAGACTATAAATAACCTCTTTTGTAATACCCTTCCGCTCTGCATTTGGATCTCCGTATAGAGGAATAAGGCCAGTTTTCCGTGGAGCACCTGAGAAACAGGCCCAAAACATCTGTTTTGACTGCTTCCCTTTCGAGAGTGTCATTTGAATACCGGAATTCCGATTTTGAAGCTGATCTTTAGGAGGAATAAAAGTCCACTCCTTCCGAGCACCTTGTCCACGTTCAACTGTAGTCTCATCCGACCAAAAGACCCTTTTCCAGTCCTCAGGTGTAAAGTGGCGATAGGTAAGGGCCCAATTAAGACGTTGTGCAGCGTGAATAGGCGTAAGATAGGGTCGATTCATCTTCCGCCATTTTCGAAGGCCCATTTCGTGGGTTAAACGCCAGATTGAGTGCGCTTTAACCTTATAATCGACCTCAGCAAGTAGATCCTCACGCGTAATATCAGGACGGGACTGAATAGCATCATACACACGATCTCGGTCCTCTTCAGTAAGCTTCCTTGGACCACCAAGGCGAGGCATTGAGATACCATGGGAGCGCTTTGTTTCCTGGCGTAAGGTGTAATGAATAGTTGAAAGAGGGATATGAGGGTACGCGTGCTTTTGAATACGTTTAGCACCCCATTTTGCTGAGCGTTTTAGCTCACATATACGCTCGCGAACGTGCGGTGGAAGCTCTGGGCCACGGGCCATAGTAGTAGAGTATAGAGAAAGAGTTAGAAAGGTAAAAAAATAGGAAGAAGAGGGGGTAATAGCCTGTATAATACTAGTATACTGCGCGCTGCGCGTAGTCGCGTAGTATACTAGTAGGAATAGGTAGGCGGTATAGAATAGCGGTGAAGTGACGGAAGTACTGGGGTGCAAATACTCATGCAACATGACTGTACATGTTTCAACTAAACATCAATCTACCCCTGGCCCTTGAAGTCCTTGAATTTGAAAAAGAAATGACTAGTCCAAGTTCCCAGTCGCGAGTGCCAAAAGCATGCGACCCATGTAACCGCCGCAAAGTTCGCTGCAACGGCCAGCAAAGATGTCAGCAATGCGAGCACCTGGATCTCATGTGCACATACACAGAAAACCGTTTATTGCGATCAAGAAAACACTCACTACGCCGAGGAGCGGTTATCTCAAAATACAAGAGCGCCAACCCCAAAACCACTAGTCTGACACCACTTCTCTCTCCACCAACAACTTCAGCAACTTCAGCCTCACCCCAACTACCAACCTCGTACTTTGAAAGTCTACTCCCAGCGTACATGTCCTATGTATACCCCTTCAGTCCAATAATCACCGAAGCAGAAGTGCGCGAGTCCCTCATAAAAATGAACACGGAAAGAGAGCACGCAGCCTTCATCTACGCCTTCACCGCAGTAACGCTGGACGTAACGCGCTCTTTTCAAGTCACGACAAAATCCAGCACCCAGCCAGCCTCAGCACAAATAGCCGACCTAATGCGCCAGTCCGTGGAAACCCAACAACCACTAGTAATAGGCTTCCGGCCCTCGATCCTACGCGCCACAACAAGCATCTTCATCCAGATGTGCGCTATGAGCCTGGGCCACTACGATCTGGGCTTCTTCCACCTCCGCGAAGCAATCAGCATGATTCAGATGCTTCGCATCAGCGACAAATCCGTCAACGCAAGCCTCACCACGGCTGAGCGAGCCCGCCGCCAACGACTATACTGGCAATGCTTCATCCACGAAAGATTCATGTCGATCGTGAATTTCTCTCCCGTGACACTTCCCCCGCACACGCAGTACCCAGAAGAAGATGCATCCTTGGGCGCAGAAATCCAGCAGGGCTGGACGCAAGTTATCAAGACGTTCTGCATGCTTGACGCGTCGTTTATTAGTCTGTGGATTGGCGACCGGACGCAGGTGACTGCGTCGTGGGTTGAGCGGAAACACCGCGAGCTGGACGATGCGTTGTGGGAGGTTGAGGTTTCTGCGCTGTCGGAGTTGCAGCAGGCGGATTTGGTTATTACGCGACAGTGGATGCGGACATTGTTGTGGCAGATGGCTATGTCGAATTGTTTGCTTAGTTCACATGCGTCATGTCCGTCATTGGAATTGGAGATGCCGTTGAGGTTATCGAGTCAGCTCAGGCAGTTTTTGACGAAGATCTCGCAGAATACGATTCGGGTGCATGGATCGTCGATGATTAGCAAGTTGTTGGAGATTGTTAATACTATTGCTGATGTGGTGATTCATGTGCCGCAGGCTACGAGGGAGGAGACGACGAGTCGGATTGATGATATTGTTTTTATGCAGGGGGTTGTGCTTTCTTTTCATAATTTGCAGGTTATGCCGAAGGATATTCTGTTAGATAAATTTCGAGTGATTAGGGGGAGGTTTCCGCATATTGAGGTGGCTATGAAATTAGCTGTTTAGTTGGTGATTCGAGATATTCTGTGAAGGGGACAGGAGAAAGACAGACCTACTACTAATGGGAGATGGATATAAGTTGAACCCGAACCCAGCATTCACACTTGAAGACTAAGCATAATTCAATGACATACATCAATAATATATTTAGAATCCGAAGATCCACTGACTGTATGCGTATGAGAACTTGGATTTAATGTAAGCAAAAGAGATTCACATGAAGATCTAATAAATCCAATCTCATACTATAGTGGAGTATGTGATATATATTTATCTCGGAGTAATAGTACACCACCACTAAATTTAGCTTGCTAATATAACATTTCATGGTGCTAGACAATCAAATAAGGAATCTCCCATTCATAGTTGATCCAACGAAATGGGAAAATTGCAACTTTACATGTACCCTACTTTATAGTTACCGTAATAAGTCCCTGGAACCCTTTTTTTACGGGCCGAGGATCTCTCAACCTCTTGACCCTCTGGGTTTCGACCTTTTTGCCTAAAGTCAGCAGAAGTGTTTCTATAGAGTCCCTCATCTTACCCAATTACTAGCCTTATACGATGAATATGTAGGAAGAATGGGAAAACGAGAAAGGAGAACCAGTCTTTCAAGGAAGTTTGACGGCTTATTATGTTAAACCTCAAAAGGCAAACCCAACTAGAAAAGGTAATTCATAGGTCTTCAGTTTACATACACAAATTCATTCCTCTAACCCGTTTACAACGCAGATGTCACGTTGGAGAACTCGCCCTTCTGGAGCTTTGTCTCCCAGAAGATAGGGTTCATGTCATCGAATCCGTGGTGCACCCATCCCTCTTCCTTGACGTGGTACAGGTTAATGAAACCACCGGAGTAGGCATCACGGTGCATGGCAGCCAGAATGGCTCGGCGGCCAAGGTTCAATGCCTCCTCCTCAGTCAGCTCGTATTTGTACTCGGCGTCCAGCACACCATAAGCGAAAGTCTGACCGGATCCAACACAGAACAGGTTACCGGGGAGACGGGTGCCGTCGGAGTCGATGTAGTACAGGGCGGGTCCTTCTTGGGGCGTCATCTAGAGCTCATTGTCAGTTACCGAACCTCGTGGCTATGTATGATGTATGGGACATACTCCTGCTAACATAGTTCCCATGCTAAGTCCGTATCCCTTGTAGGCGTAAGTGAGGTTGGCAAGAATCTTGGACGCAGCCGCAACAGTGATACGGCGCTTGTGTCGGATTTCTATATAGAAATTCATTAGCAACGTCCTTCCACTGCTCGCAAATATTAAGAACCGAGCTGAACTTACCATGCAGAGTGCACTGTTGACTCAAATACCGCAACCAATATTGACAATCCTAGCCATCCGCAACAACCATCAGCAACCAACATCCATCACACCATCACTCGTCATCATCGCTTGTGGTCCAAACTTACAGCTGCACCACCGGCCATCGTTCCCAGGAGACCTGGTGTAGGCTCGTTCGACTTCTTGTCCTCGCCCCGACTCAACCGCGATACGGGAATGACCTTCTTGACTGTCTGACTGGCAATCCAGTTGCCGGCTGTTGCTCGCGAATCAGTACACACGATCTAACCCAATATATCCATTAGCTCAACATGCTCCGAACCCAAGAAAAGCATGATATAACCGAAATATAGGAAAACGTACGATACCACCCTGGAATCGGAAGGCCAGGGTTGTTGTGCCGTGAGCGAGTTTGATAGGACAGCTGGGATTGGAGTGGTCATCGGTCATGGCACGCAGGAAAGCAGAGTGCTAGATAGAAGAAATCAGCGTCAGTCCATTATTCCGCTTGCCTCAATTATAGATAGGTTCTGGCGAGCGATTCTCTTGGACTTAGCTGTGATGACGGTGCAGCTTAGGTTGACGTCAGGATAGACGTACATCCCGCGACCGAACCACCATCCAGATCAAAGAGAATCTGCCCCCGGTATTCATCAGGAACTCACGTTGTCGACAGGAGGAAGGCTGAACTTCAGTGAGAGCGGAGGGACGCTCGCAGTGAGGTCCTGCTGCTCTTGCTCTGAGTACATCTCATTCTGATGGGGAGGGCGCGAGTATTGGGCAACAAGTTTATCCATTGTGTGCTGAAGTAATAGAAAATAAAGGGAAAATTAGAAAAAGATGCTGGAAAGACGTGAAAGGGATTCTGGTGAGACAGGCAAGTGATGGTTGAAGCTCCGCTGGAGCTCGGGGTTTCCGCGTCACTCTGGCGCCTGTGGTCACGTGCATCCTCTACAAATCGCAATACGGAGTATGCATTTGATATCATTTATCAGTTTTTAGGAAGAAATTGGAGGAAATTAGAATGAAAAGAATAAAACAAACGAATTAATGAATTAACGAATTAGCGAATTAAACTTTACAATACACAATTTGCATATTTCCTGAGTATAGACCCCCCATGTTCAGTGCCAGCCAACGCCTTTCCCGAAAACACCTCTCCAACGTTTGGTGCCCAATCTGAAGCGAAGAACCGAATTTACACATAACAGCTGAAGTATGTCCGTATCAAACTAAAAAAGAGACTAGACCTCTGAGAAGGATTGAAAAGATCACGCAGGCGCAGGCTCAACCACCATCTTCGCGGGCAAGGCACCGCTACCCACTGGTTCGGTGAAGCCCTCAGTCACAGAGACATTCTCGAGAACATCGGACTGACGCTCCGACGCATCATCGATTCCATTGACACCGGCACCGTTGACACCACTGACACCGTTTGCGTGAACTGGAGACTCCCGGCCCGCGGCGGTGCCGATAGGCTCAACGCTCGGTTCCCATTGACGGAGATCATTCTCAGCATCCTCGAGGATCTGGCGAGCCAAGGGCTCATGGTCATATGCCTGGCGTGCGTCGCCAGGAACAACAGGAGTGTCGTCAATGTAGTTGAGCAGGCGACGAGCATGGCGAGCCAGAATGGTCTGCTTCTCGGCGCGCTCAATAACGGCCGCCAAGTGGATATCATAGGCCTCCTTCAGCTTTTGGCGAGTCTGCAGATGGTATGAACGTTAGCCAGTCCAAACTAACCTCACACAACATACAAGGACAGGACGAAATCAGAATCAAACGTACGATGTTAGACAGCTGTGCCTCAGCAACCAAGTTCTGAGCCTCAGCTCGGACAAGCTCATGCTCCAGCGTAACCAGACGCTGGCTCGAAGGATCCTTGTACTTGAGCTTGGCAATCTCATCAGTGACCTTCTGGCGCTGCTCTCGCGATGGCTGCACTGAGGCCTCCATGTTGCGAATCTCCTTCAGGATACCACGGTAGTCCTCGAGGTTCTGCGCAAAGCTGTCTTCCTGTTCGCCGATCTCAGCAAGCAGAACGCCGAGCTTGTCGGAGATGTCGGAAACATTGTCGTCTTCAGTCGACTCGCCCCATTCAGAGAGCTGGGCGGCGATCGAGGTGCGCTCACGACCGGCAGCTTCGTGGGCGCCGATGGCGGTGTTTTCGCTCTTGATCAGCTTGGTCATCTTGCGGCTAAGCTCTGGCGCTTGCATCCCACGGAAGGTGGAGATGCTAAACCGCTGCCGAGGAGGCTCTCTGCGCGAGCGGAATGAGAGGTTGCGATTCCTAGACTTTAGTTTAGCCAAAGTGACATGTTGAGAATGTATAGTATACATACATATTGTTTCTTGTATGTAGATATAGTCAATACAAGTTAGGGTTATAGTAGAGGGGATATGTTAAGATGAGAAACCGAGAAAACTGAATCTGGGGGAGGTTATGATAAGTCGGCAGCGCCTTCCTATAGATGACGATGGTGACGAACCCTATTTCTCTCCTCGTCTCTTTTCTTTGCCAGAGGAAGTGCAGTCCCGGTGGCTGACGTCATGAACGGGGATGGGCGGATGTCAAGTTGAGCTGTTCATGCACGCACCTTTCCGATTGCGGACATTTCAAGTTTAACGTTGTAGAATAGTCGTGAGTGGTGATGGTCTTTAAATTTCTTGAGTTATATGGATCATGGTATCATGAAAAGATCTAAGGTTGATCGTCATTCTCCACCCTTGGCTTATATCAACGTACTAACAGTACTAGATCTGCAGACTATTAATTAATTATGATATTATATCCATAGATATTACATGAAATTCATAGGAATAGGTATATGATCATACACAAGGCATTAGTGTGCTCTTTTGATTTTCAGATTTTGAAAATGCGGCACAACTGCTACCTTCCTAATTGGGAAACATCTCATTCGATTATTCCTAAAGTGGAAGATGAGGTGAAAAATAGGGATTAAATTCATGAGAGATCCCACCCTCTATCCTCTCAATTAGAGGCAACTAAAAAAAGAAATTCGCAGGGCCAGAGGAAGCAGAATTCCTTCTGGCCAATCTTATGGTACACAACCAGCTAATCCTGCATAAAATCCAGACCCCCGAACAGCAAGCCGCAACGCCTGAAACAGACCAGAATGACTGATCCGCAGAATCATTCGTTAAAAAAAAAAACACTTTCACGTGAAAAGATCTCGGGGCCAGACTAGGAAATGTCGTCCGCATCAGGGTTGTGGGAGTGTTCATTGTCAGATGCATGGAATGCGTCGCCAAAGGCTGAGTTATCCAGATCTGGCAAGTCAAGACCATCGTTCTGCTCGCTATAAGCCGCCAAGGCGTCTCCGGCGCTGTCGATGTTGGTGAAGTCGAAGTCTTCACCGACCGGGCCATGGTCTTTGCTCTCATTGTTTACCATGACCCAGTCGTTGGCCTGGCCATTGGTACCAGCGTGGAGCTGGTCACCCAAATCCATGTCAACATCACCGG